TTTTCTCCAACAGAGAGTGTCAACATTCTGTCTACATCTTATTAGAAAACAGTGTCTTCTGCATAAAGCCTCGTGAGTCACTATTTGACGCTTAGGGCTGAGAGCTGAGTGATAGCGGTCCACTCTATAACACTTTTCTGTCTATAAAAGCTGATATTATGATGTGACAGAGGCTAAAATTACATGCCTGAGAAAACTAGTGAAAGTTTAATGACTAAACTGTTTTGGGTCAAGTCACAATGGTTTTCTGTGTGAAAATTAGCTACCCCAGCTAGAAGTTGAATTTGAGCAGCAATCTTTTCCATAAATAAACCACCAGTTATAATGAAAAGCACTCACAGACACATTTGGGGCTGCGATCGCTCCACTTGGGGGTCCCTGTGTCACGGCCATGGCAGGAGATCTGGCTGGGCCCTTCTAGTTGGTATCCTTGGTTACAGGAAAAGCGGACCACCGTCCCAACCGCGAAGCCGGCTTCAGGCCGAACAGAGCGCGCTCCGTTCACAACCTCCCCTGGGTCTGGGCACTGCTGAACTGTGAGGGATGAGAGCAGGGCATACTGTATTATGATGCTGCTTTAAGTGACTAGAACGAGCCTCTTGAGTCAGACCTAGCTTTTTGGGCTTGTTTGAATCCATTACACTTCAGGCTCTCCTTTAGTTCTAGTTTAGACCTTATTGATCCTTGTTTGAAATAAATGTTTTAATAACTTTTTATATGTCAGTAGACTCGGTTCCAGAAAACTAAAATTGGGAGGGCAATTATAAAATCATTATCATGGTCTTGAATCTTAGCAGCCTGGAGGCAATCAATAGGTAACAATCCTCGCCTCACACATTTGGAAAGAATATCATTTGAGAACATAATACTTAATACATTGTTACCTAACATGAGCTACATACAAACCCTGAGTGTTAGTATGAAGCACATACAAAAACACAAAATCTGTCAATCTTTCATTAATTTTTGTAAAATACTGCTAAAATTCCCTATTAACATTTAGAAATAATCAGAAAGCTCCTGGAATCAGAAAACTATTTGCTTTTGGCTGAGCGCTGTCACTTTTCTGCTTTCACTTTTCTGTTTTCACACACATGGATGTGAACACTAGTGATACAAGCAAAGTGTTTTGAGAGCAAGGAACGAATTATGTACTTCAATGTTTTTGTGTGAGTTGAAGGAAGTTGAAGTTGAGGACCAATAATAATGCACAACGTTATTTTGTTAAAAATAGAACAAAATAGTGTATAAAAAAGATCATACTATACGATGTAAGTGAGTGGTAAGAAGTAAGTCTTTTTTTCAGTGACTCTACAGTGGATCATATCTTTCTACTATTCGTACACACTCCCCACATGTCACACACATGTCATACACATGTCATACACATGTCATACACATATCATACACATGTCACACACATGTCATACACATGTCACACACATGTCATACACATGTCACACACATGTCATACACATGTCACACACATGTCATACACATGTCACACACATGTCATACACATGTCATACACATGTCATACACATGTCATACACATGTCATACACATATCATACACATGTCACACACATGTCATACACATGTCACACACATGTCACACACATGTCATACACATGTCATACACATGTCATACACATGTCATACACATGTCATACACATGTCATACACATGTCATACACATGTCATACACATGTCATACACATGTCACACACATGTCATACACATGTCATACACATGTCACACACATGTCATACACATGTCACACACATGTCACACACATGTCATACACATGTCATACACATGTCATACACATGTCATACACATGTCACACACATGTCATACACATGTCATACACATGTCAGACACATGTCACACACATGTCATACACATGTCATACACATGTCACACACATGTCATACACATGTCATACACATGTCATACACATGTCATACACATGTCATACACATGTCATACACATGTCATACACACATGTCATACACACATGTGACAGGTACACACATGTGACTGGTACACACATGTCACTAATACACACATGTCTCTGGTACACACATGTGACTGGTACACACATGTCACAGGTACACATGTCACTGGTACACACATGTGACTGGTACACACATGTGACTGGTACACACATGTCACTGGTACACACATGTCACTAATACACACATGTCTCTGGTACACACATGCCACTGGTACACACATGTGACTGGTACACACATGTCACAAGTTCACATGTCACTGGTCCACACATGTCACTAATACACACATGTCTCTGGTACACACATGTCACTGGTACACACATGTGACTGGTACACACATGTCACAAGTTCACATGTGACTGGTACACACATGTCACTAATACACACATGTCTCTGGTACACACATGTCACTGGTACACACATGTGACTGGTACACACATGTCACAAGTTCACATGTCACTGGTACACACATGTCACTAATACACACATGTCTCTGGTACACACATGTGACTGGTACACACATGTCACTGGTACACACATGTCACTGGTACACACGTGTCACTGGTACACACATGTCACTGGTACACACATGTCACTGGTACACACGTGTCACTGGTACACACATGTCACTGGTACACACATGGTTACCTTTGACGCAGGTGGGCGGGTTGCTGCTCCAGGACAGGTCCCATTGGCAGGTGATGATGTCAGTCCCGCTGATGTCGTATCCGGGGAGACAGGTGTAGGTGAGGACGCTGCCCCTTACATGGGACGGGTGAGACGAACTGATCCAACCAAACTCCATCTGAGGCAGGCTGGGGCATGTGTCGTTGGGCTCCACCTCTGCACAAATGTGGAAAATGTAAATTAAGTATGTTGTAAGGTTATATAATTAAATGCAATGTTTTGTTTCATTGTTTATTTGATTTTATTTATTTTTTTGCTCTGGTGCCAAAGTCATTTTTTTGAAGAATAGTGTCTCACCCCGGTAGTGGATGAGGAAGCCCTGGCTCAGGATAAATGTGGAGTCGTCTGGATCACTCTGGAACTGGATGGTGACCTCAGAGCCCCCGGAGACCACCTGGCAACGCTCTCTGGAGCCCAGGTACTGACCAATCACATGGGACATCAGGTCTCGGCCATCGAACACGGTCAGCACGTCCGCATTCCGAATGTTGAGGCTGAAAGGGCACAGTGCAATTTAGGAAGGTTCATCTAGTCTCTTCTTTGTAGATTAAGTTATTTGTATTTTCTATATCACAAAAGGCGAAGCAAAACCGAACAACAGAGAACTATTTGAAATATCAGCAGTAATGGGATCACTGCAAACGCAATGACCATCTTCTGGACAGGGACAACACAAGGATCATCAATCATCCATCAATTTTTTCCAGCTGTATCTTGTAGGATAAATTAAAATTACCTCTTTCCTCAATCAAAGACATTTTGTTGTATATTGAGACATATTATAACTTCTGTCTCCACTGTGTGTAAATCCTTGTGGTTCAGGTTTTATTGTGGGTAAGAATGTCTTAAGATAAGTGCCATGCAACACCCTTCCCCCAACGACTCTACAAGATGTGAAGACTTACAAGGACCCACAGGGAAGACAAACCAGTCTGCTTTGGAACCACGGAGTGACCAGACCTCCCTGGGCTCTGCTCAGGCAACCAAGGGGCTTTGGGCCTCTTAGATGGCCTCAAACCTCAGCTCCACGTTTGAGAGGACTTCCACAACCCTTCAATAGCCTCCAGCTTCAACCTGAAGAAGTTGCTGAGTTTTGGCACCTAGACTGTGGATCGTGGGAGGACTTGGTTCAGCCACGTGATGCAGCCGCATGGTCCAGGCCCCGTGGACAAGAAGCCTCCATCCAACACCATCAAGACCCAGGGATTCACCAAAGGCTATTCTGGTTGTATGATCTGCTCTCTTGCTACACACAGTTGTTGGCTTTATTAAAACCTATACTTCAAAGAATACTTCTCCTACCAAGGCTGAACACATGCAGGCCTCAGCCTATACCAATCTATTCATAGACAAAGGTCTTGCTTAGCTCACTTTAGCCTAGCATTTTAACAATGTATCTTGAAATCAACGTTTCCTTCATGTTATTCTTGACAATTTGCATATTTCATATCTAGTCTGTATTGTGTATACTTCATTAAATCTACAAAACCATCTTTGTCTGAAAATGATATTTGTACTTTAACTCCAGAAATTGGGTCACTGATTTGTAAAAGAATTCACTATCTTCAGATTCTATTGAAGAGAATTGGACTAATTAGCTAATTAAATAATGAAAGGATTCATGAGATTACTGAATCAATAAATGAGCCAATTAATTGATATTGTGACGTCATATGCACGTTATCAGTTGGGAGTTATTCCCTGGTGCCCCTAAATAAAGCTATTATCAATTATTGTATTTATTACATGGTTGTTTTTATCCAATTCTCCGATATCAGGTACATAACTTAAGTTATGTGTGATATCGACATTTTCTCACCCTACAATCTGTTGCCAGGTCGCAGGGGCAGCAACCAAAGCAGGAACACCTTAGCTTTCCTTTCCACACACACTTCCTCCAGCTCATCTGGGAGAATCTCGAGGCGCTCTGAGGCCAGCGGAGAGACATAGCCTCTCCAAGGTGTCCTGGGTCTTACCCTGGTCTCCTCTAGAGGGACATGCCGCCAGAACCCTTTCCCAGAGAGGGGTCCTGAAGGCGACCGAAACAGACGGCCAAGCCACCGCACTGGCTTCTCTCCTTGTGAGGCTCTACTCTGAGCTCCTCCCGTGTGACTGAGCTCCTCAGTCTCTCTCTAAGGGAGTGCCGAGCCACTGCGGAGGAAACTTAATGTGGACCCCTTGTATCTCATTCCTTCGGTCCTTACCTAAAACTTGTGGCCATATCATAGATTTATCCATAAATTGTCAACTTTGCCTTTCGACTCAGCTCCCACATCCAATAAATACAAGCGCAGGATCAGAGAAGCTAACCCTAAACCAGGAAACGCGGCACAGACACTATGAACCGAAATGAAGGGGCATTCCAACTCCCTCGCACACAGTCAGCCCGGTAAACCGTATGGGTTGGCTAGCTAACCTGGAAAGAACAGCTGATAAGGCACGTCCTGTCATTTTGTCTTATGACTAACGCTTAGAAGGTTATTTTAATAAGAAACTAAATGTACAGAAACTATTAAAGCTTAATGAAGTGATAATGATAACTCACATGTGGATATCCAGCTCAATTCGTTTGTCCTCGCTGGCGTGGATCTGCCACACACAGTCCAGGCCTTTGGAGTAACTCTGGGGCCAATCAGGAGACAGGATGGTCCCAGAGGGCTCGCTCAGGTCGCCTCCACACAGAGCTGACACATAAACAACAGACATCATTATAATACATTAGAAAAGTATTTTCATATTTGGTTTCAACTCAACTCGATTTCTTTGCTGCTAAATTGTAGCAGGGTTTGCTTTGGCTAAACATGACAAAAAATATTACAAACAGCCTTTTGAATTACCAAAAGTGTTTTTGGCTGGAGGTATATGCTTTTTAAAATGTCATAACCAAAGTCATATTAGCAATGTGTATATATTATTTTGTTGTGTATTGAGGGTCATTAAAAAAGTGACACACAATAATCATGTCCTATTATGCATAATACTGTATATAGCAGTCAAAAAGTTCGTTGAATTTAAACATAAAACGGTCCACAAAACGGTTTGGTGTCCTTAATCTACCTCTATGTTTGCCCGCTGTGTTTACACTGAACATGGCTCGGCAAAAAGACTAGGTCAGGTTATGAGTTTAAAGCCAAGTCGAAAAGTGACAGCAGCACGGGGCGGTAAGTGTGAATGGAAACGAACGACAGTAAGTGTGAAAACCCATTTTAAAAGACTGTTATTTATGAAAAATAAAGATTTCCCAGCATCAACCTAGGTTTAGCAATCAGAAAATAATATGGAACATTTTGTAATACTAAATTGTGAGACGACTTTCACCTTTCTCTCCTTTGATCCAACACTTCTTCCTCTGACACTTTCACCATGCGCTCACTGCTGACATCGTGTGACACTGCCTCACACATTCTATTTTCAGCCAGTGTGTGAATGTATGTGCGTGTGTGTGTGTGTGTGTGTGTGAGTGTGTGTGGTACCTTTGCAGACAGGTTCGGTGTCGTTCCAGTGCGGGTTGCTGGGGTCCACACACTCAATGGCAGATGACCCCTGCTCCATGACGAAGCCGGGCGAACAGCTGAAAGTGACCGTGGTGCCGAGCTGGAAGCTCAGGTCGCTGCTGGTGAAGTTGCCATGGGGCATGTACGGCTCCCAGCAGTGCTCGTCGTCGAAGGCTGCCACCGAGCGACAGACCGAAAGATCAAACAGTTTAGTGAGTTTGACAAGAACAAGGCAAGGCAAGGCAAGGCAAGTTTATTTATATAGCACAATTCATACACAAGGCAATTCAAAGTGCTGAACAAAATAAGAAAGCATTAGAATCATAAATTATCACAGAACATTAAAAAGAAAGATTTCTTTTTTTTTTTTTTTTTTTTTTTTTTTTTTTTTTATTTCATTTCCTCTCAGTTGTCTGCACAGCTAAACAGAACTGTTTTTAACCTGGTTATAAACATTGTCAGAGAGGAGGCCTGTCTCACATCAGGAAGACTGTTCCAGATTTTAGCAGCATGAATCTGAAAAGCAGCCTCCCCAAGAACAACCTGGGATGTCACTGTGTTTGTTTGTTCAATTCTCCTCAATAATGTTACTTTTAGACATAGCTTTTGTAGTAGTTACTAATATCTCACTTAGATTCTATATTTTTACAGATTAAGTGGTGTAAATAATCAATGAATTTTTTTAAAAACAATTTGTGTCTATTTTGTGCTTTTTTTGTTGATACAGTTTTCATTTGACACACCACTTAAGAGAAACACTCCGAGACACACACATATATTCTGCTTTATGATGGTTCGACCCTTATGATATTTGTTATATTAGTAAATGTATGCATATGTGTGTATATATTTATATACATGCATGTTTTTGTGAAAGTGTTTGCATATGTATGTATACTTGTGTATATTTTGTGTATGTTTTGTATATATCTACAGTATATGTATTTTGTAAATGGAATCAGTCACGTGACAGCTTTGGCTCACGTGACTGGGCTTTAAAGTTGAAACCAGGTGTGTCTGGAATGAATGTCTGATGAATATAAATAAAAAACACTTCTTGGGAAAAACATAGCTGTGCAAATTTTTTTCACTCTTTTCACGTTTTGCACTTTTTAAATTTTAAAGACTTGCACGCTAGTCCAGACTACAGGGATGTGCGCCTCATTTGAAGCCTTCTATTTTGTGCTAAACCACGGCTTGAAAACAGCACTAGTGACAGTGACTAATTATGAAGTCAACCAATCACACTTTTTCCAGCAAATTAACAGGAGGGTCTCAGCCCATTGATACCAGCCGTCCATTGTTAGGCTGCACCTGATTCTACCAACAATATTCCTTCTTATGCTTCAATTGTTCGATAGGAATTATAAAGACGATGAGCAGTTTACGCAGGACTGTAAAAGAGCTTCTTCCATAACTGTGGGGACTGACTATGATTGTGTGATGATGTGTTGTACCTTCGTAGCGCAGGGCGAGCAGCAGAGGGATGGAGGAGGAGTCGGCGGTCAGCTCCAGGTACAGGGCCGCGCTGTCGCTGAGGAGGCCGCGCTCGGGAACATCGTCTGCGTCCGAATCAAACAGAGAAGGAGAGGACGAGCTGTTTCCACTGCGCACGATGAGCCTGAGGGACCAGAGCAAGGAGACCCAAGTTAGTACTGTACCAGGAGTGTCACAAAATCAGTCACAATTATCATGAGAAAAGTCATCAGGCTCGTGTCATTGTTCAGGATTATTGACTCATAAAACCAAGCAGCAGATAGAAGCAAATTTGTCCTAAAATTCAATAAATGTAGCTTTGAGGAATGCCAAACTAAGTATCATTCAAAAATAATTATAATTTGTTGTAAACCACTGTTTTTGCTCAAACATTTTCAGATATTTATTTATTTCTATTTCCTTAAAATACACAAAAACTAAATTCAAGTCCTGCAAAACATTAATTTCACTGCTTTTTTTTCGTGCGACTAAAATATGGCACAACAGTGCCCCCTACAAAAGTCAATTTACATTGCGCCTATGGGACCCGGGCCGACGTTAAGTTTATTGTAGAACCACGAATTTTGGTACACATATTCGCCAACTCAAAACATGACAAAAAAGTTATTATGATCATAACCCCCTACAAACCAGAAAATTGCAGATTTTAACTCATTTCGTGTGCCCCACCCCGACCGTTTCACCAGGGCCCAACATAGCTCCACACCATGTAAACAGGCGTAGCATCAAAGTAAGCTGCAGAAATTTGATTCACTAAATGGTGTGCGCAGCAGACTCATATATTTTGGGGTTTTTCTATAGAGACACACAAAACTCCCCATGTTAATCAGTGGACACACACTCAGGTCGTATTCATTACAATATTTACAATATCAGTGTTTCTTCCATCAGAGCTGTGTGAAGTTCGGTCTCATTCGCCTTTTCAGTAAAAAAGACATGGCTGCATCCGAATGCAACAAATACAGCTTCTACCTTCTCTGTCCTTTCTTTTAATTTTAAATACATTAAAAATCAATATCATATTTAGCATCAACTCTTATTTTAAAAGCTAATTCAATTGACTTGGCCAAACCTGGACAAACATTGTCTCATATAAGGTCAATTGTTTAAAATAAGGAAGGTGGTATTTAAATCATTTGGATGCGGCCCATGAACAGAGCCAGTTTTGGCTCTTAAGACAAGTCTCGCAGGCCCTTGTTTAGCTTAATGAGCAGAGAAAAATGGCGCCGTGGCAAGAGCTCTGGTGTGTGCTGTCTGTTGCACACTGGGTAGTCTTGCACAGTTTTTCCAATGTGGTTTTACTGCAACGGGCTCATATCACTGCACTGCTGAATGGAATCGTTTAAGATATGATTTGTTTCTTTGGCTATAAAACTGTAATAACAGATCTGCCTTAGATAAACATTTGCACTTTATTACTGTTGTTATTCACTTTTTATAAGTATCAATTTGTATGGATGGATGTGTTTCTGCTGCGGGACACCTGAATGTCTCTTGGATCAATCAAGTATCAGTCCTGTATGTATCTGTATGTACCTGTATGTACCTGTATGTATCTGTATGTACATGTATGTACCTGTATGTACCTGTATGTATCTGTATGTACCTGTATGTATCTGTATGTATCTGTATGTACCTGTATGTACCTGTATGTACATGTATGTACCTGTATGTACCTGTATGTATCTGTATGTACCTGTATGTATCTGTATGTACATGTATGTACATGTATGTACCTGTATGTACCTGTATGTACCTGTACGTATCTGTATGTACCTGTATGTACCTGTATGTACCTGTATGTACCTGTATGTACCTGTGTGTACATGTACCTGTATGTACGCAAATGTACCTGTATGTACATGTATGTACCTGTACATTCCTGTATTTACCCGTCATAACCAAAGGAGTGAAAAGTTGGGAGAAAATGTTGCTGCTTTGAGATGGTTTCGGTCGGAGATGCACTAAATGTAGCAGTATGTAAGATTTTCATGTCAAGTCATCATTAAATGGCCCTAATCTGTCAAAAGCCATTGATAAACCGTGCTCATTTCAAATATTTCTTTAACTGATAACATGAGATCTCAATCCTCGGATCATTGTATTGAGAATTGTAGTGATATTTACATCCTGGCTCTTCACAGCTCAAACAAAATGTCTTTAGAAATCACCTCTAGTGAAATTGAATCGTCTCTGCACAGTTTTGTTACATTCTGCCGACCCAAAACATTTCTAACTGACACCAAACACAACGTTTATTTTTTTGTGTGTGTCTTATTTCAATTGTTGTGCTGCTGTGAGGGGAAAATGTTCTGTGTGTGGACTGTGTGGACTGTGTGTGTATACACCTGTACCTGTATACTTGTATGTACCTGCATGTACCTGTACATACCAGTGTGTACCTGTATGTACCTGTACCTGTACGTACCTGTGTGTACCTGTGTGTACCTGTACATACCTGTATGTACCTGTATGTACCAGTACGTACCTGTATGTACCTGTATGTACCTGTATGTACCTGTAAATACCTGTATGTACCTGTACGTACCTGTAAATACCTGTATGTACCTGTATGTACCTGTACGTACCTGTATGTACCTGTATGTACCTGTAAATACCTGCATGTACCTGTAAATACCGGTATAGGACAACACATGAGGAGAATAGTTTCACCTGTCCTCGTCCTCGTCCAGAGCAATCCTCTCAAAGTGCAGGTGCAGCCTGTGGCCCTCTTTGGCCTCGATCAGCCAGTGACAGCTCAGGTTGTTCCCAGAGCTGTGGTTGCTCACAGAGGGAGGGGGCGGAGACAGAATGCGGCCCACTGTGGCATTACGGACCCATCCTCCACACGACACCGCTGTGAGGACAAAAATAACCAGCAGTTTATTATAAGATAAGATAACGGATCCTTTATTCGTCAGGACAGTAGTAAGACACACAGGGAGCACACCAAAATGACCAAATAAGTAGTAGCTATGTTTCTTAGCTAGCAGTAAATGTTTCAATATCAATCACTCAAATAAAAATCTATATAGTGCAAAGTTATTTACATATAGTGCCGGATAATCTGTAGATACAGTGACATTCAGTGACATTCTGAAGTTGCAGTATTGCACATTGCACATAATTGCAGTATTTTCTTATTTACAGATGAATGACATGTACAAGCTCAGTCGTTCTCATTGTACAGTCTGACAGTATAGAAGGAAGGAAAGACCTGCGGGACCTATCCTCCTTATAACTGCAGATACAGTGATAACCAAAAGATGAAATGTTGGGAGAAAATGTTGCTTCTTTGAGATGGTTTCTGTCAGAGATTAATGCAGCAATATGTAAGATTTTCATGTCAAGTCATCATTAAATGGCCCTAATCTGTCAAAAGCCATTGATAAACCGTGCTCATTTCAAATATTTCTTTAACTGATAACATGAGATCTCATTCCTCGGATCATTGTATTGAGAATTGTAGTGATATTTACATCCTGGCTCTTCACAGCTCAAACAAAATGTCTTTAGAAATCACCCAAAACATTTCTAACTGACACCAAACACAACGTTAGTTTTTTGTGTGTGTCTTATTTCGATTGTTGTGCTGCTGTGTGGGGAAAATGTTCTCACTTTACAAACAAGACCATTAAGATTGTTTCCCTATGTCCACTGTTGTATAATTCTAATTCACCTAAAACTGCAGGACTTGATTGTCATTTAGTTTTTCTTGCGATACAAAAACAAAACCCATTCTAATTTGCTTTGATCAACATTCTGGATCCAAGGTTCATATTTGGGCATATTCTTGTTGCTGAGTGGACTCTGTGGACTGTGTAGACTGTGTGGGCTATGTGGACCGTGTGGACCGTGTGGACCGTGTGGACCGTGTGGACCGTGTGGACCGTGTGGACCGTGTGGACCGTGGGGACCGTGTGGACTGTGGGGACTCTGTGGACTGTGTGGACTGTGTGGACTGTGTGGACCGTGTGGACTGTGGACTGTGTGGACTGTGTGGACTGTGTGGACTATGTGGACTGTGTGGACCGTGTGGACCGTGTGGACTGTGTGGACTGTGTGGACTTTGGGGACTGTGGGGACTGTGTGGACTGTGGGGAGTCTGTGGACTGTGTGGACTGTGCAGACTGTGTGGACTGTGTGGACTGTGTAGACTGTGTAGACTGTGTAGACTGTGTGGACCGTGTGGACCGTGTGGACCGTGTGGACTGTGTGGACTGTGCAGACTGTGCGGACTATGTGGACTGTGTGGACTGTGGGGACTATGTGGACTGTGGGGACTGTGTGGACTGTGTAGACTGTGTGGACTGTGTGGACTATGTGGACTCTGTGGACTCTGTGGACTCTGGACTCTGTGGACTCTGGACTCTGTGGACTCTGTGGACTCTGTGGACTGTGTAGACTGTGTAGACTGTGTAGACTGTGTGTGGACTGTGTGGACTATTTGGACTATGTGGACTGTGTGGACTATGTGGACTGTGTGGATTATGTGGACTGTTTAGACTGTGTGGACTATGTGGACTATGTGGACTGTGTGGACTATGTGGACTGTGTGGACTGTGTGGACCGTGTGTGGACCATGTGGACCGTGTGGACTGTGTGGACTATGTGGACTATGTGGACTGTGCGGACAATGTGGACTGTGCAGACTCTGTGGACTCTGTGGACTGTGTGGACCGTGTGTGGACTGTGTAGACTGTGTGGACCGTGTGTGAACCATGTGGACCGTGTGTACTGTGTGGACTATGTGGACTGTGTGGACTATGTGGACTATGTGGACTGTGTGGACTATGTGGACTGTGCAGACTCTGTGGACTGTGTGGACTATGTGGACTGTGCAGACTCTGTGGACTGTGTGGGCCGTGTGTGGACTGTGTAGACTGTGTGTGCTATGTGGACTATGTGGACTGTGTGTGCTATGTGGACTATGTGGACTGTGTGGACTGTGGGGACTGTGTGGACCGTGTGTGGACCATGTGGACCGTGTGGACTGTGTGGACTATGTGGACTGTGCAGACTCTGTGGACTGTGTGGACCATGTGTGGACTGTGTAGACTGTGTGTGCTATGTGGACTATGTGGACTGTGTGGACTGTGCAGACTGTGGGGACTGTGTAGACTGTGTAGACTGTGTGGACTGTGTAGACTGTGTAGACTGTGTGGACTGTGTGGACTGTGTGGACTGTGTGTGGACCGCGTGGACCGTGTGGACCGTGTGGACTCTGTGGACTCTGTGGACTCTGTGGACTCTGTGGACTCTGTGGACTCTGTGGACTCTGTGGACTCTGTGGACTGTGTAGACTGTGTAGACTGTGTAGACTGTGTAGACTGTGTAGACTGTGTAGACTGTGTAGATTGTGTAGACTGTGTAGACTGTGTAGACTGTGTAGACTGTGTAGACTGTGTAGACTGTGTGTGGACTGTGTGTGGACTGTGTGGACTGTGTGGACTATGTGGACTATGTGGACTATGTGGACTGTGTGGACTATGTGGACTGTGCAGACTGTGTGGACTGACCGACGCAGTGCGGCTCGGGGCTGCTCCAGCGAGGCTCCGTGGCGTTGACGCATGAAGCCACCTCGTGCCCTCGCACCTGAAAGCCGGGGTCACAGTGGAAGTGGGCCTGACCCCCGGGGTGGATGTCTGTCACGGTCACACCGCCGTTTTCCGGGGAGCGAGGGAAGGGGCAGGAGAGAACGTAGGCTGGAGACAGAGAGGAGACAGAGAGGAGACGGGAGGACAAAACATCAGGATAATGTTTGATTATTATTGTTGGCATCTGCTTGTTCCTCATTATAGTTTTGTTGTGTTTGTCAAACCAGAACGTGAAAGTAAAATGTTGTGAATAATTCAGACCACAGAATGCCGTCTTCAACTTTTAAAGCCTTGTTTCTTTTGCAAACTTGTAAGTCCTGTGAGTCACTATTTTAGAGTTTGGGTTGACAGCTCTCTTTTTCACTTTTCTGTATGAAAAAGCTGATCAATAAATGCATGTGAAAGCCAATAATAGTTGAACCAGACTGTTTTTAGAGAGGGAACAAGTGAGTTGTTGTTTGTATGTATCTGTGGTTTAAAAGTGGCGTCCTCACTCAATAAAATAGTATCGTTGTTGTCTTTGACATTTTCATCCAATGTTCTAACTGCTATATTTCCTAACTCAGCATTATCTAATAGGCTACCAGTTCCTCCCATTGTCAAGGGCTCACTGTGGCTGTGAAGAAAGCACTCTCGCTTCTCAGCAAGAAGGTCCTGGGTTCTCTCTGTGTCTGCGTGGGTTTCCTCCGGGTGCTCCGGTTTTCCTTACCACTTAAAAACATGCACAATAGGTCTGAATGTAACGGGTGAGTGAATGGATGTTGGTTGGAGCCTTTGATGCTCCAGTGTGTTCGTCTTCATCATCACCGTGTGGAGAGAATGGAGAAGTATCTGAACTCTGAACACTGTAAAGCGCTTTGAGTGACCTTGGTCTGTACAAAGGCGCTATATAAATAAAGATGACTTACTTACTAAAGGTCCATTATAGAAATAAATATATAAGTATATATATTTAATTTTTAAATGAATCACTTCACCATTTCAAACGTCTTTTTGAAGAAGGTTTTCAGTGTGTTGCTGTTGTTGAGTTGTTGCAGTATTTAAATTAAATATTAGGATGTTTTAAAAATCATTTATTTTTGATGTAGGAGTAGCTTGTGTGATTTAGATAAAGGGTTGGCACGGAGGGGGGCTACTATCATGGGTCTGCCAAATGGGCACATTAAGTTTTCCGTGTGAGCCAGAGAGGCACACAAACTTAAAGGGAAGGTCAGTTACTTTTAAAATCGTGAAGATGGAGAGACGTTTTTGGAACGCAATCGCCTCAGACCGCACAGCTTCCTGATTGGACTCAATGTAGGCCTCACAATTGGTCGAACTATTAGCCTAGAAAATCTTTATTATGAAAGACAATACTACATGGTTGTCTAACAATTAAAAATGATTTAGAACAAATCTTATTGTTTTGTTAGGTCCAATACAAGAGGGTTTATAAGAGAATTGTGACGGGCACAATAGCCAAGCTTGGAAAATCCCAGCATCCCACCTTTCTCCTTTAGTGCTGCAGTGATTTGTCTCAGCACACAAAAAGACACTGAAACAAGTTGTGAAACTAAGAAGAAAGATCTTAAGGAAACCAATGGATATTAGCCTTCATGTGCTCTGATAATTATGGTAAATACCAGTTGAAGAGTTGGAAATTGCCCATGAACTTGTATTTTCTACTTTGAGAACTGGGAGACAAGTTTAAGCTCAGAGTTGCCGCCATGTTTAGTCTTACATACGGCAACACAAGGACTTGAACAGAACACACTCGTAATCACCATAACTCATAAAGGCAGCTTCTGTGTTGGTTGATAAACACAGGTTGAAAGACGGTGGCAGACACATTTCATCCCCTGTGGTCTGAATACAGCCTGTTACCACCGGGACGAAGGTGTGTAATGTCTCGGATGAAGACCGAGAAGGGCGTCCCAGGTGTAAGACCATCTATGACATGTTGACCGCCATTTCTGAACCGTGCCATGTGCTTTTGTGTTGTGCTGTTTCATTCATATATTTACATGCTTTTCGTGTGCTAGAAAAAAAAAATCATAGACTGTTTCTCATAGATCATAGCTCAATGAAACCAAATACAGAAGTGCTCATGGACAAAGTTTTACTCCAACTCTAGCTCCAATTGACTTAAATTAAAAGTAAACTCCTCTAATGTAGACAATGACGGTCTCCTATCTTCAGCAAAACAAAGAAATGTACGGCCGAAACACAAAGCAGACAACTGTAGTGTACGATTATACTCTGTACCTTGGTAGTGGAGGCTGAAGAGGCCGTGGTTGCTTTGGCGACGGCTCTTGTAGTGGATGAAGACCTGATTGGTGGTGCTGCGGATCACCTGACCCTCGCTCATGACGGCTTTGTCGGCCAAGAACTTCAACCCCTGACTCCCGTAGGTCATGATGGTCAGGGACTCATCTCGGGACAGCTCCACTTTCTTCACCTGAGAAGATATAGAATGTGGTGTTGTTTTGCAAAATGCTATTGTTACCTGCTTGTCTCAAAGTTTAAAGTAGCAATATGTAAGATTTTCATGTCAAGTCATTGTTAATTGGCCCTAATCTGTCAAAAAGGCATTAATAAACCATGCTCTTTTCCAATACTTCTTTAACTGATAACAATAGTTCAGAGATATTTGAATTTCAAAATTAGTTTTACAGCCTCTGAATCTTGTTATTGTTTTCATTTCTATGTCCCGCTCTCCATTGTTTTACCAATAAAAACGTCTGTTATCCGGGTTGCCAGAACTGGGAAAGTACCATGTGCTCACAGAACTTAAAAAGGTCTCGTTATGATTCTCAAATCATTAACGACACAACAAGGAATAAAACCAGGATTTCTATCGGGCATGTCTTTGTGAAAAAGGTGTTGGTTATAGATTTGTTGTTGACAAAACTCTTGCCTATTCCATTATTATGGTCCCAGCTGGATTCGTCTGCATATCTGGCAACCTGAGTCAGGGAGAGTGGGAGAGGCTGCAGTACCACTTTTGGCCAGATGTTTACATACAGTACTACTCGTTTAAAGCTGGGGTCCCAAACTTTAAAAAATGAATAACTTTTCAAGTCAACTAACTTTCGTACAAACACCCCAAAGATAACGTGTTTTCTAATAAGATAAAGAAGATGTGATTCTGGATATTTTTACTCACAAACAACATGTGTTATCTACGAAACAAAACCGTATCAGACAGCCCATTGCATTGATACTATGCCTTATAAGTAATTTCCTTCCTAGTTGTTTGGTTAAATGTGTATATGCATTGAACGGCCCACGTTACCTGTATCTCTACTCCGTATCCCGAGTAGACGGTGATGCTGTATGTGCACTCCAGGGGCGACTCTGTGCCCGGCTCCGGTGACTCAACCACATCCTCCATAGCGGACAAGGTTGCGTTGCATTGTACTGAGAGGACATATGGAGAGACAGGAGTAATTACATAACACCCTGTGCACTGCCATGTGTGCACAGGCCTTATACTAACTGTTCTTCAGATATACAGAACTTTTTATCTGAAGTTTCATTTAGAGTCGCTTTTAGCTTGGATTTACTCTGCGTCCGTCCTGCTTTACACCCTGTTAGTCGTTGGTGCCACTATAGCTTGGGGGCTTTTTTACTTATATAGAAGACAGATATGCTTACATTCACAGTTTGATTCTCTATTTTGATAGATTTAGACATATCCTGTGAACAACTTTATGGTAAGTTACCAGCTCAGCAGAAGTACAGACATAGAGCATCTTGCAAGGACATGGTATTGCTACTGTGTAGAAAGGGGACACAGGTAAGACAGAAAGGACTTCATTATGAGAACGCTGCCCAGCCATTGGCAGCAAAAGAAAGAAGCACTGCAACTGATAAAGACCAGGGAATATATAACTGTATATTAATATATTACCGGTATACAGTATATATGGTATGTTTTACTTTTCTTGACCAAACCTAAAAATAAATGCTAAAACCTTCCATACTGACCCTTTGATCAGAAGCTGTACACTCAATGACTCCGAGTACCTGAAGCGTGCATGGTGGTGATGGTGGTGGTTGTAATCAGTGTAGTGGTGGTCTCCTCCTCCACGGGCAGGGAGGACTGTCTGGAGGGACTTGTGGTCAGCATCCCCGGGGACAGTCCAGCGGGGGTGGACTCCCTCTGCCGGAGCCGGGGCACGGCCTGGGTGGGGTTGGTGGTTGTACCTGCAAGTCACCAAATGATTCGACAGTGACATTGTTTTCCCATGAGCCTTTTCTTGTACTTGGAGTAATTTAGACCAGTGGTATATTCTATTTATCTTATTTATTCTAGTTTCAGGTTCATAAACCAAAGCACTGGGAGGAAACCAGAGCAGACACAAACATGCAAACGCCACAGAAAGACCCGTCTGAAGCTGGAATCGAACCCAGAACCTTCTAGCTCTGAAGCTCGAGCACTGACCACGGCACCATCATGGCTTTATACCTTGATGGTGGGTCCAGACACTGTTGCAGTTGAGAACCACTGTTTTAGATTATTATTACCTTCATTTGAATTAAATGCCTGTGTATAAATGCACAATACCAGTAAACTACAACAAAATGTTTACTGGCCTCAATCACAAACTGTTCAGGAGAACCAGTGCACACACAACAGTGTACAGTGTGTTGTGTGATGACTCCTGTCTCTCCATGTGTCCCTGTAGTATAATGCAACGTTATGGAGGATGTGTCTGAGTCACCGAACCCAGGCACAGACGTAATAGTTGACGCTTTGGGCTGAGAGCTGATTGGCTCAGTGAGGCTGGTTCTCTGGTGAAGTTTCAAAGTTAGGTAACCCAGCTTTAACACATTAAAATAATAAAGGTAGCGTTGTCAAACAATAACAATATTTAATCGTGATAAATCACATTATTGTCATAGTTAACTCATGATTAATCACAATTAATTTCACACTTCTTTGGTTTGAAAAGGGATTGGATGAAGCAAAAATCTTTTCTTTTTTTTTCAGTGTATAGTACTATTAAAAAAATCTGGCCAAAAGTGGTACTGCAGTCACGGTCAAAACTCTGTATAAATTAGTAATATTAAATTACTAAATATATCAAATAGTAATAGTAATAGTCTGAAATAAAGCAAAGTGATGAAAACCTGCTCTCTCCTGATTGGCTTTCAGGATTCTGCTCCTTCCTGATTGGCTCTTAAGATTCTAGGAACACAGCACTCCACACCGAGCCACACATTTCTGCCCAAAATAGGCGCGTGACGCAATCCTACTCAACCGTGTCACTCGCGTTTGCGGTGTGTAGGTCACAAAATGCGTAGACACAACATTATCTTTTTTTTTCCTCAAACGTAATATCAGACATTGTGTTTTCCTGTGATTTCCAGAAAGTAATTGTAAAGATTTGAAAGTTTAACAGACTACAGTTACTCTAAAAGACTATTCTGAGAAACAAATAATGTTACTACAATAGCGTTAAAGTATTCTGTTACTCCCCAACACTGAGAACATTGTCATTGTTCCACTCTCAGAGCCACTTTGGTAAAAGGCAAAAGTTTAGGGCGGGGCAGGCCAATAACATTTCTAACACTTCATACTTGTTTCAACATATATTTTCTACTGAATATATTATTTCACATTCTAAAACAAAATAAATGCGTAATATTTCTTCTTTAAAACAATGAGTTTATGATCCAATGGCGAATCTTGTTTTAAGGACAGGACAGTTAAGAAGTGTGTTCACCTTTAGCCAAAGAAACAAGACACTTTAAATTGTATAATGATAAAAGCAACAAAAAAAGACTACAATGTCCCCTTCCCAGGTGCCCCTAACTCTCACCGGGGGGATAGGCGTCAGGGCTGGAGGTCACGTCGCTGTCGGCCTCTGGAGTGGCGAAGCTCAGGCCTGAAAAGTGACGGGAGGAGGTGAGGTCACATGAGGGTGTCGGGTTTAGATAAAGGCTCAGGATGAGAGAGGGCAGTTTGTAACATAGATTTAAGAATTTTACCTTATTTGTGTGTTTTTTTTTTTTTTTAGCCTTTTTATAGATTTTATTCAATTGTTTCCATTTTTAATAAAGGATATATTATAACCTTTAAAATATTTATCCTTAATTCATAGCTACATGTATTATATTTTTTACATTTTATTTGCCATACAGAATGTGCCATAAAAATACAAATGATTGGAGGGTATGTGGTTAATACGTCTGTAATTATTCATATGTGATATAATCAGCCACGGCAGTCTGAGTCTCTTCTCTTTCTGCACATGAGCGCACAGATTAGAGGTATTTAGGATTTTCCATTCTGACTTTTTCCTGCATTAACCAGTTGTAAATATGCACCAAACAAACAGAAGTGTGTGGAGGAAACGTGTAAACTCTGCACAGAAAGGCCCAGGCCAACATGGAATAGAACCTTCTGGCTGTGAGGCTTGGGTGCTCAGTGGGAAGCACGCATGCCTCACAGTGCTACCCACTGTGGGTGCTTCTTGAGCATGAAAATAGTTATCGCGCAGTAACAAAAATCAGGTGTTAAGTCTGACAGCCCCGATAAGTTCCATTCCAACGTGTGTCAACTCTTTGTCATTAGCCTACCTTCCTGACAACACATGTCTCCTCGTGTGTTCCACTAATCAGAGGAATAATGTGGCCGGTCCCACCGCGCCCTGCTGCCCGACCTCTTGCCACTGAGTGTGTGCACACCGCGAAGGGCAAGCATGGATGTAGTATATGTATGTACCAGTGGGGGCGGGGCACGGCTCAAAAAGGTCCATGAGCATGTGCGCTGACATGTTGCAATATCACTCCGAGCCAGTGGGGGTGTATCCGGAAACAGAATTACCCAAGTCTTTTGTATGGCGCTTTCTTTCCTCTCGAAAGTCGGCTCTTTGACCATCGTTACGTTCCAGCTGTGTATCAATGCTGAAGGAAGTGTTTTCTTTTGGACCAGCCTCGTTTAGCCGCTGTGGACTTCAGAAGGCACTTGTTGCCGGTTTTTTACATTTTCCTGCCCCGCGGCCATTTTGAAAAAGCCCACAAAAGGCAAAAGTGATGGCAGCATAGTTTCAACGCCGGAGATAGGCGCGACTATGTCTGTAATATTTAAGGTCAATAGTATGTCTCAAACGGGATTCTTCATCCTCTGTTGCCGCAGCGTTCTGACACCGGAGAAACTGCGGCCGCTTTGCAGTGAATGACAGCGGTTCCTGTATCCAGCGGCTGTGAGCCGCTTTGACAACAAGCGACGAGCGCGCTGCTGTAACCTGGTCATAATGAGACCAGTGCGGACCAAAGACGTTAGCAAAGTTTCTAAATCATATTTATGAAAATATCTATCAAATTCCTATGTGAAAGCACTTTAAAGTACTAAAATAAAGGATTTTTATTTAAATTTCTGTTTTTATGTCGTTTGGCCAAATGTAAAGAAATATTTTCGTTTATTGTATACTAAATGTTGCATACTACAAAAAAAAAAGGTTAAAAGGATAGGAGGATTTTCTTTTTCCGAGTGGAAGGCCGTGGTACGAGTTCGTCAAAAAAGACCAGAGTAAAAGATATCTACGTCTATATTGTCTGACATAGTGGAAAAAATGCAAATCTTCTTGAAAAGCAGGCTTCTGTGTGAACACGTTTTAGTTGGCGTTCCCGTCACTGGAGCAGGGAGAGCATTTTGTTGCGAATGTGCATTTTTTCTAAAAGTGGAGAAGGCGGTTCTTTCCTAAAATTAAGAAAAATCCTCCTATATACTTTTACAAATGTATCAGAACGCAATCAGGAAGAAAATAACTCACCTTTTACCCATAGACAAAATATGGATACTAGCAGGGCTGGAATTAGCCATATTTTTTGATAATGGATTAGTTGGCTGTTTATTATTTTAATTTATCAATTAGTGGTTTAAATGGATTCAAAGTACAAAATGTCGTCTATGACATTATCAAACATCCACTGCTGCGATCAGGAACGACCATTTCATATATATTAATGGTACAAACGTTTATCAGGCACGGAAGACACTTTTTTGCAGCGCAACGGTACCGCAACTTCCTCGCTCCACGCACGTGCAGCAACAAATCAGAGAGCAGCAAAGTGGTCACGGGGACACAAGCCGGTCACCACAGAAAGACAAAGACACTCAAAAACCACCAAAACAAGCGCTAAACAGGATAAAAACAGGACTAAACCAATGGGGGCGTGGTGCTGGTGAACATGTGTCTTCACCCTGAGGTGACATTCTACTGTCCCTGGGTACAAGAGCTGTTAACGTGTTCACAGACACGGAAGTAACGGTTTCTAAAGTACTACATCCATGAGCAGCTCTGTGAGCAGATACTCCTGTTATGACGTCTCTGGAGGCTCTCGGGACACAGACAGGTGTATTCAAACACCTTTGCTGGGGGATTCTTGATTTTTTTTTTTTTACCAAAACAAAGCTCCAGGACATCTTCAAACGAACTTGGTTACACACTGGGAGTTAGCGATACTTTGGAAAGACATTTTTCATTCTGCAGTCATTAAAGAATCAAACCTCTTCTCAGCAGGTTTAACTCTAGGTAAAGCTAAAAACATTAAGTTAGACAAATGTATCAATCATCGATTAGACGCAATTAATCAATGAACGTGTTACAAAGTAGAATATTATGAAATTCTTGTACATTGATGTATTTGGAATTCCCTCGGCCATATATTGTGCTGTACAAATAAATGTTGATGATAATATTATAGCGCAATGATTAATATAAATTATAGAGGGAGAGAGAGTTTACAAAGACTATCATCAATCAATCAATATTTATTTGGGACTTATTATAAAGTCATGGGACAAATGACACCATGCACAACATACAAAAGACAGTTACCTGACACCTGGGAGAGCACGGTGACTGACAGCAGCACAAGCAGCTGAGGGCCCCCCATGTCTTTGGATGAGGGCGCTCTGAAAGGTAAAAACACAATATTATATCAGCTCACACACTTGAAAACACTGTCAATTATCTTTTCTCATCAAGAAATGTATGTAAGTTTTACCGGTGGAGGGCCTTACACCTGCTTCTCTCAAACAATGCTATTCTTGGTTTGCCAGAAATGACCCATAAATATATAATGAATCTATCTATTAGTTAATCTGTGTTTCATGTGTCAATTTGTCAATTTGTCAAGACAAAACCGTAACATATTTCTCACCCACCCACAGTGCATCTTTAAGGATTGCTACTACACAGTCAGAAAGAAGCATTACAACACAGCAGCAAGAACCACTGCACATCTAATCTAGGACAACGGCTTTTTGGCATTCTAACCCACGCGTTTTTGGTATTTATTACATCATATCCAGGCTATAATTGAAACGCACACAGTAATACATGTTGCAAGGCTATGTTTTGATTGAACGGGCCTATCCGCGACACACATGCCCCCCCCCCCAATTCCGCCGCCTCATATTAAAACACCAAATCTATACCGCGATCCCGAAATGTGCAAAAAGGCTCCATCTTTGCATTTTGCAGGAGCACATGCGCAGTTTCCATACATTTTTGCTTTCTGAGGCGTTCCCTTTGGTGGAGAGGATGCACCCCTAGCCCTTTTTGTGCGGTGGATGATGATGTTGGCTTGGAGCGGTGTGCCCGTCAGAATAAGCGGGGATGGGAGCGCGTCTTACCTCGACGTCGGGGTCTGTGACTGGATGTGTCCCCCCGAGCCTGTTGCGTGGTTTGGCGGCGTGAACTCAGTGCGCTCCGGGTCTCAGTGCGGTGGTCAGATATCCCCTGTTCAGTGCTGTGCTGTTCTGGTCTGCCGCGATCACCGTGGCTTGACGCATTCAGCTGATGTGAGGGCATTTGTGATGATGCTCCAGGCGCGCTCTGGCGGTCACAGCGGGTACTGCAGCCCAAAGCAGAAGCGTGGGAGGAAAGATGTTGTAGTTTACTTTTAGGAGAAGACCATACATACAGAAAGATAAAAAAAAAAAAAAAATGATAATAACACGTTCAGCTTGTATAGCACTTTTTGGATACTCAAAGACGCTGCACATGGGGAATAAAATACAATCAAAATCAAAAGGGGGTTTATGGAAAAGCTTGGTTGAACAGACGGGTTTTGTGAACTGATTTAAAGTTTGGTAGTGAGTCAGAGTTTGTAATGGGCAGTACACTAATTTAAAGACGGTTAAAACCACTAGTGTCTGTAAATTTACCCAGGTGTAAAATGATACTCATAGGGGCATTATTATGAAAGCTTACTGCATATATTAGAAAAGTTTCGGTTTTAATGGGGAAAAAAATGTTTTATTGGTGCGGAAAATCCTGCTTTTTTTAGATCAACCCTCAATAAACCTCTGACGTTAACACTCACAAAACAGACTTGAGTGTTAAAGTAGCAATATGTAAGATTTTCATGTCAAGTCATCATTAAAGGGTCCTAATATGTCAAAAGGCAGAAACAAAACATGCTCTTTTTGAATACTTCTTTAACTGATAAGAATAGTTCAACCGAGATATTTAAATTTAAAAATTAGTTTTACAGCCCCTAAATCTTGTTATTGTTTTCATCTTGATGTCCCGCCCTCCACCGTTTCACCAATCAGAAAGTCTGTGATCCAGGGTGGCCATAACTCACCGCTTCGAGCTAATGTAACTGGTAAAGTAACATGTGGCTGCAGAACTAAAAATGTCTCGTTATGATTCTCAAATGATTAATGACAAAACATGGAATAAAATGAGGATTTCTATCTTTGTGAAACAGGTGTTGGTTATAGATTTGATGTTGACAAAACTCTTTATTCAGACGTTATGGTCCCAGCTGGATTTGTCTGCATATCTGGCAACCTGAATCAGGGAGAGCGCAGTACCACATTTGGCCAGATTTTTACATACTGCTCCTTTAAGTATAAATGCTTTGGATGAATCACTCTCTTGCTCTTGAAGTTTACGTTTAAGAAATGTCCTCATGCATGGTTTTCTTATAAGACAAATTCTGCAGTTCTCACATCTTATTACTTGAGTGTGTAAAGATGTGAGGACTTTTTTGTCTTATTCTCTCTCCCTATGGACCAATACCTATGTAAGTGAATTGAAGTTTATGTTGTGTGTTCTGTTGGTAGGTACGGAAAATTCTGAAAACTTCCGTGCACTTGTATTAAGAATGTATATGTTTATTACACAGCTCCTCACAGCAGCAGTAGAACGCTCCATTGATTTGAATGTCATTTCAAAACGTTCTACCGGTCATTATTTCTTGATAACGGACCTCTCAAAACAATAATGGCCGCTGCCCTTTGGCAACGCAACCTCTGCTTGTCTTTCAAATGCGTGGATAACTCCGCAAGTAGTTCCGGCCACTCCGGAGCTAGCCACGCTCAATAAAATACCAATCAATCAACACACTTAAATGTTAATAATGTCATTATTCATTCACTCCATACACGGTGGTGTTAAACTACTACTGTAGCCACAGCTGCCCTGGGGCACACTGACAGAAGCGAGGCAACCAGTCTGTGCCATCAGCTCCTCCCACCACCACCAACCATTCACACACACACCACCAGACTCATTCTAGCAATGGAGGTGAAGTGTCTTGCCTAAGGACACAAGGGACTCGGTTGATAAAGTCTTGTGGCTCTCAGGCCAATGCTCTACCAACTGAGCCACTGTCTCCCCAACTGTTTATGGACACATTGATTAAAATGTCCTGTCCTAAATACAAATGACTATATTAAAAAGGTTTTTAAGTTCTAAGTGTTCCTCCTCTTTGCATCTTATCTGAAGAGTGGCAACATCCTCAAAACAACTCTCAATTGACCTGAAACAAAGATCATGGTTTAGGGGAAGGATAAAAAAACCATCACAGAGATTTACGGTTTCAGTTTCAACTGTGAGGAACATTGTGAGGAATTAGAAGACCACAGGCACAGTGTGAGTTAAGGCCCGAAGAGGCAGACCAAGAAACACATCAGACAAGCAGAGGAGGATGATGAGGAAATATGGACCAGCCAGCTTCATTTTGGAATTAGGTTCTCCGGACTGATGAGACTAAAATTGAGTTATTTTGGTAAAACATTTGGAGGTGGTGCCGTCATGCTGTGGGGCTGTGTCCAGTCCAGGTACTGGGAATCTTGTTAAAGTTGAGGGGGGCATGGATTCTACTCAACGTCAGCAGATTCTGGAGAACAATGTCCAGGAATCAGTGACAGTGAAAAATGAAGTCGCCCCTGAGCTGGATCTTTCAACACGACCACGACCTCAAACACTGCTCGAAATCTTCTGTGACGTTCATGCAGAGGAACAAGTAGAATGTTCTGGAACGGCCATTTCTGTCCCCAGACCTGTACGTTACTGACCGTTTGTGGTTGGATTTTAAAAAATGGGCCAAAGCTCATCAAACCTGACTGAACGAGCGATGATCTGCAAAGAAGAATGGTCCAAAATACGTTCCACCAGAATCCAGACTCGGATTGGAAGTTCTTTGGAAGGAGGATGGACACAATATTAAGTTTATTTCTTATGAAAACAGAAACTTTACTCATAAAAACAAAAAACTTTTCTCATAGAAGAAGAAACTTTTTTAAGTTCATGCAGTTCTGTACAGAATGCTAAAAAAGTTGATATTTTTGCATATTTGACCCAGTGCCTGCATGATGTTTTTTTTCTACATCACAATGTTCTCTGGTCTAGGATGCTTTAGGCTCAACTGGAAGGTTTTCTGCTGATCAAACCCTGATCAAAAGATAAGACACCATGATGCCCTCTCTAACATGCAACACTTTTTTGATATAATAATACAAAATAACACAATTCTCCTTTAAATAAGTTCAAATCCCTCTCTTAATCTAGTCTACTTCAGTTACATTTCATATAAGAATACTTAAAGTGTGCTATGTTGCCTAATACATACTATTTGTGTACATGTATCTAACTATACATGAAACAGGCAAAAGGTGGAGCCTTAAAATTCTGCTAAATTTGAAAAACGCTTATGAAGCCTTCAGCATTTTACTCTGGACCAGACCAGAGAAAATGGTCTGAACCAAACGGCTCCACCTCTGCTGCTGTGACTTAAAGTGCTGTTGCAATTTAATACTATTGTTAGCTATTTTTAGAATGATCAATTAATTTGTTTTGTTTGTGTGGAGGGATGTGTTTCTGCTGCTACTGGACACATTCATTTCTCCCACGGGGATCAATAAAGTCTCTTAGAACCTGATGCTGCTACCGCTGCACAGTAGTTTAATCACTGTGAATATTGGAACCCTAAGGAGCTAATACATTATAAATAAATTATAATTGGGCACTAGAGTGTATTGCAGATTAATTTAAAAAAAATATACATACAAGTACTGTATTTTTTGCACTAGAGGATGCAATATTTTATACTTTGCTTAAAGAGTATAGGAGGATTTTCCCGAAATTTAGAAAGGAACTGCCCACCTCAGAGAAAAATAACCAGAATGATTGACAATTAGGAGGATCAATAGAGTAGATAATCCTCGCGAAAATCCTCTGATACCTTTAATATTAACTTATCTGTCCTTTGCATTCCTACTGTTCTGTAATTTGTGATGCAATACTGGAATTTCCCCACCGTGGGACTAATTAAGCATCTCTTCATCTTCACTCTGCACAAGATGCTCCTGTAACTAACCTTTCCCTGCCTGAGGAGAGGGTAAAGGAGAACCCCCTAACCATGCAATTGGCGCACTCTAGCGGACACAGGCCGTTACTGCATGTCAGGAGTGGAGCTGCGTGCTGCTGCTTGGGCCGCTTCCAGGGAACGACCACAGCGCTACACAGTACAGTCTAGGGTCCAGTCTCGGGGTCCAGTCTCAGGGTCCAGTCAGGTAAAATGCATGTGCGTGCATCAAACCTGCATGTCTCACACCTTTTGCTTGGAGATATTATATTTCGCCCATTTTACTGAAGAAACAAGGAGAAGGATGGTGGGCTTGGTGCAACGGTGCAATGATAATAAGCCTGGTGCATGTTGTGTTGTGTTGTGTTGTCATGTGCATCTGTATCTGCGTGTCACCGGTGTCAACACGACACGAGTATTAGAAATAAACCGATTATCAGTAATAAAAGAGAACTGCTCCCACTTTCACACCGTAGAGTCCTTCACCCTCCGCATTTTATTCAACAACCAACTTTGGACGACGTGTCTCTGTGACGTAATGAAGCATCAGATTATGTCCAGATCCCAATCTGTCTCGCATTGACCCACAGCAGCTGGATGCTCGCTCCATGCCATTACGTAAGGCTTCCACGGTCATATCAATAACATCAACAATTTGGGCTTAACCAAAGATACACTGAAATGTCATGGCTTATTTCTGTTATTGGTCTTGGGTTGATTGCTCCTCTAATCCTCCACAGGGACTTAGACTAGAGCGGCTGCTCCTACACTAGCCTGCATGCAAACAGTTTGATCTATATACTTTGGGTTTGGGACATCCATTTAAATAAGTACCACAAAATGTGATGCATGAACATCTTCTCAAGACAAACATTTTTGTCATTACACAATTAGTAATGAGCAAATCAGGTAAGTCATGTTTATTTAGCGCTTTTCACTGAACTGGGTCACAAAGGGCTTCTCAATAAAAACATTTAGAAATCAAGTACAAATAATTATGAAAGAATGGTAAATAGAAAGTCAGTGTTGAAAAAAAAACACAAGAAGAAAAAAGGGGGACACAATCAGTCAATCAGGACTCGGTCAGGTTCACTTCTGTACTTCTTTGTGAGGCTTGCTGTAAATATGTGAATATATTTGTGATTATTATGTGTGTGTTTTAACGCTGCTCTTTTTAAAACTTTTCTTTGATTATTCTTAGCTATGGATCCTGTGCTTGCATGTGAGTCCTTAATAAAGTCTAAATCAATAATACACAACATCTGGAAGAATTGAACTCTGTTTTTTTTCTTAATTAGCTTTAAAATGAGGTATAGTTTGCCATGGTGGCTGTTTTAACATAGTTTCATGGAGTGATTGAATAATGCCACAAGTGTGCAATAATGTTTTATTATTAGTAGCAACCCCCCCCCCCCCCACTTTGCACTTTGCACCTTGCACCTGCCCTGTTTAACAGGTACCAGGTATTTCTTTTTAGTACCTGCTTGGCCCTGGCTCTAACCAGGCTGAGCTAGTCCTAAAGTCATTAGCCAGTGATTGGCAATAGTGCTTCTGGAAGCCATGGTTACCAATGAATTTCCCCGTATACTGATTTGTTGTAGGTTGGTTGCTTGGCTATGGTACCAGATACAAAAGTGTGTTGGAAACGCAACCAGGTGGAGTAGAGTAGAGTAGAGCAAGGCCAAGTAGAGCCATGTAGAGTGGAGTAGAGTAGAGGGTCATACAGGGCTGGTAGAAACAACAATAATAATATAGAACATTTTGAAAAGTTTGACTCGTGATGTAAGAGGCACTGAATCATGTTTGTGTCTTGCAGCTTGGTTGCGGTGACAATGAGCTGGCCCCTGAGCCCGCTGGCCTTACCCCTGTGCAGTGAGCTGGGCGTGCACTCCCTGAGCGGCCTGCTGTGGACCGTACTGCTGCTCTTCCTCTGGCACTGCTACCGGATGGGCTCCGACTCACCTACACATCCCCACAGCTCCAAGCACACGTCCCGCATGAAGAGCTGTGTGGGAGTCAAGGGCAGTGACCCCAGGAACCCCTTCATCTGCAGGGGCACAGAGGAAGAGAGGGGACAGGGATACCTCACCCCCGTGTTGAGCCACACCCTGTTCCCCGCTCAGGCCTCGGCACAGGCCAAGAAGCTGTATGCCGCTCTGCAGGAGTATGCCAAGCGCTACAGCTGGGTGGGCATGGGCCGCATCCACAAGGGCCTCCGAGAACAGGTGTCACAACTGCTGCTTGAACAACTATTGCTTACCATGAAAAATTACATTTAAAATACAAAGTTAAAAGCAGCATGAACAGAGGATGCAGTAGTTATGGTGGAAATGCATAGGCTTTTCTAAACTCGATTAAGTGTGTGAGTGAGTCGGTGTTACGGAGGTTGGAAGCCAGATTGAAATTGTTAGGTGTTAGTACTACTACTACTGCTTATACTAGTACTACTTTAACTATTACCACTATACTGCTTGCACCACTACTACTGCAGCAGCAATCCTGTAATATTCAAATGCATACTAATACTCACTAACTACTGCAATAGTCTTTATTAGTTATGTTGTGTTAGGTTGTGTTTGTGAATGCAGCCTAAATTCAATTAAATGTATTGCTGTAAAGCCCTGAATCACAACAGTTGTTGTCCCAGAGCACTCTATTGTCAATTCACCGACCACAGATCAGAGAATAAAACAGTTCTAACACAGGAAATTAAAATATCAAACATTTAACCTTTATTTAACCAGGAAAATACCCATTGAGATCGAGAAACATATAGGAGCCATTAAAACAATGACATTAAAATTGCACCCTCTCTCATAAACCAATACCTTCTGATGCATATACAGTCTGATATATTTTTTCGTATGTATTTATTTGTACTTCTGCCATTGTACTTGAAGAGTCAGTATTAAAGTATCAAGAGTACTGCACCTGAGAACGGGTTTTCAATACTAAAATGACAACAAAATATGGTAATAAGTATTCTTTATGTGTTTTAACTGTTGATTCTCTGATCTGTGTTGGTGATTTCAATGGTTTTGTTAAGTCCTCTGCGATGACTTCTGTTGTGAATTAGGGCTATACTGTACAAGAATATATTGTATTGTATTGTATAAGTTGACCACTAGTTTTGCTTCTAGCCCTTTTGTTCTTGAGCAAGACACATCCCTTTCCTTACTTCCAGAGTATTTTTCCTTTCTTGCATGTGGGCCAGGAGAGACTTGCCGGTCACTGCACCATTCAGAAGCCACACTTGTTCTACCTGCCGGACGTGCCCAGCGTGCCGTTCTTCCCCCGGGACGCACACCGACACGACATAGAGGTGCTGGAGGCCCACTACCCCCTCATCCTGAACGAGTTCCAAGCTGTTTACCAGCGCGGCCTCGACTGCAAGCATGGATGGACCTTTATGGGACCAAAGGTATACCAGAACTATAAATATGATGAGATTTTAAATTGGCGATAACTCTTATTTAAAGAACCTACTCTTTGAGATGTATATACTGTATACTACTACTACTACTTATACTTCTCCACACCTTATCCCAAACCGGCCTGGTTCCTTGGAATTCATGATTTTGTCCGCTCCCTAGTAGTTAAAATACTCTTAAGTCATAAGGCCAACTTGTGACTTAAGGGGGGCAAAAGCTTATGCAACCCGCTGTACAAGATCAAGATTTTTTTGTTTGTTTTGTAATATTTGTTTAGTTATTGCTGATTTTATTTTAGTATTTACTTAAAAATTTAGCGTTTTTTATTTCAGTGGAACAATTCTCGTATCTTCATCAATGTGCATATTGATGTGTAGTCTGTGAAATACTTTGGAACTTAAAAAATGGATATAGATGTGGTCAGGTGTTCATATGCAGGCCTCATTCTTTGTCAGGGCCAGGCCGTCTTCCCCCTGTACAGTGCAGGTGTGTGTGTGGCCGGGAACTGCCGCTCGTGCCCCTGCACCTACCGGACCCTGCTGTCTCTTCGCACCTTTGTCAACAGTAACTCTCTGGGATCAGCCGGGTTTTGGCTCCTGGGTCCTGGGGCCACTCTGGGCAGCTCATATGGGCCCACCAACACCCGTCTGCGCTGCCATTTGGGTGAGGGATACACACCACAGCAATAGCATTTACATTTTGTTGACATGATAAGCTCTGTTTGATAAAGTGCTAGACAGATCTGTACTTTTGGTGTTGAAGCCGAACGTTCCTTGCAAATGTATATAGCATAATCCAACAGAAATGTATTATTCATCCCACAGTGCAGAAATATCAGTGTTGCAACACACATTACAGAACTGAAGGAATAAAGGATGCACTCAAAACAACTTAAATCACGTAAAAAAAACGTTCTCATGGGCTTCACATGGGCTTTTGGAGTATCTCGAAGGACACTCTGGATTCATTCATAAATCATTATGTATTTGTGAGGGCTGTTTCACCCTGTCCCACACATGCCACACACATGCACCACACATGCCACACATCAGCCCCCATACATGCCACACACATGCCACATATCTGCCCCATACATGCCACGCACATGCGACACACATGCCCCACACATGCTCCACACATGCCACACACATGTCCCACATAGCCCACACATGCCCCACACACATGCCTCACACACATGCCACACACATGCCCCACACATACCACACACATGCCACACACATGCTCCACACAATACCCACATGCCACACACATGACCCCACACATGCCACACGGATGCCACACACATGCCCGACACATGCCACACACATGCCACACACATGCCCCACACATGCCACACGGATGCCACACACATGCCTCACACACATGCCACACACATGCCCGACACATGCCACACACATGCCCCACACATACCACACACATACCACACACATGCTACACACATGCCCCACACATACCACACACATGCCACACACATGCCCCACACATGCCCCACACATACCACACACATGCCCCACACATACCACACACATACCACACACATGCCCCACACATGCCACACGGATGCCACACACATGCCCCACACATACCACACACATGCCACACACATGCCACACACATGCCTCACACACATGCCACACACATGCCCGACACATGCCACACACATGCCCCACACATACCACACACATGCCCCACACATGCTACACACATGCCCCACACGCCCCACACATACCACAGTTGCCACATACATGCACCACACATGCCCCACAAGCCACACACATGCCCCACACATGCCCCACACATGCCACACACATGCCACACAAATTCCACACACATTGCATAACTGTGAGTAAGCCTGAAGATTCAGTTGTGTCCAGACTGAATCTTCAGGCTGACTAACACAAATCCTGTGGTTTTAAACAAAGTGGACAAAGGGTGAGTGGCCTCCTTCTCATGCAGTGATGCTGAGTCCAGCTGTGGTGTGTGTTTCCAGGGCTGCAGACCCCCCTGGACTGTGAGCTGGTGGTGGGGGGAGAACCGCAGTGCTGGTCAGAAGGACATTGCCTCCTGGTGGACGACTCCTTTCTCCACACAGTCGCACATAAAGGTCAGCGCAGGTGCATGTGAAAGCGAGCAACGGGATTATCCAACCAAAATAATCTGACCTCCTGAATAGGCACACAACTAGATTTTATTTTCCAGGCTAAAGTTTGTTAATGTTTATGATCATAGCTTCTATTTTATCTATTTCTTCACCTTTAAGCGTGTGGTGGATTATTTTTCATTTGAGCCAATCTATGTCAAAACACTTAGCTCTCTCAATGGCTTGAATAGCACTTCTAAATGGAACGTTTGTGTGTGCGTGTGCGTGTGTGTGTGTGTGTGTGTGCAGGTCCTCAGGAGGCTGGCCCCCGTGTCATCCTCAGTGTGGACCTGTGGCATCCAAACGTTGCTGCGGCCGAGAGACAGGCCTTGGACTTCATGTTCAGCCCTGAGCCCTGAGTGGCCTGTTTACCACTGCAACATGGACACTGTGTACACGCCCCAAAGACGGAAGAAATGTTAGCTTTAAATGTATTTATTATATTATTTGTCATTCTTTTTCAATTATTTGGGCTTTATTCAACATATTTTTGCTTCTTAAAATCTGCGTGTTCAATAGGTTGCGTTCACATGAGATTACAAAATTATATTTGTGATGTGAAACAGTAATTTTGTTTGAATTTTTATTAATCGAAACTACTGCACAGCCTTATGTTTTCTTTGTATAATATAATAACATCTAAAAAAAAATAAACAAAAAAACACTATATCATTTGTTAAAATTTAGTCAAAGGCCTCGATTGCAAATTGTTTGGCCCTATAGGAAGATCTTTGTTTACACCCGCGTGCGCATGCGCCCCTCGCTGTGTGGCACAAAGACAGAGCGACCCAAACTGAAGCATGGATGCAACGAGTACTTTTAAAAGACTCAGTGGCGAATAGCACTGTATATAAGCACTTAAACGCAAGAAGATCAGAGGAGACATAAAAACAAGCTAAAAATAAGTATATGAGACCGAACTGAACAAATTCAAAGCACAGATGACACCTGGGATGACAAGAAGAAACATTGCTCAGACTCACATCTGTTTTGGCACCGATCTGCTGGGACTGGGACTCTAAAGTGGTCTGCACATTAAAAGTGGGTTGCCCCTTTTTGCTGTTACTGACGGTAAAGGTGGAACAGGAAGCCGCGGGGATGAGCAACCAAAATGAAATGTTTAAAATGAATCATCATTCATGAATGAATGAATGAGTGAACAAGTACACAGTGATAGTTGTTGCAAAATTTTTTATGAATTTTTATCCCCTCATCCCCCCGGCTTCCCGTTCTACGTTTACCGTAGGTAACAGCATAAAGGGGCAACCACTTTACCGCGGCCGTTTTTCGCTGTTCTTTTCTGAAAGAATAAGAAAAAAAATGAATCTGTCCCCAACGGGCCGTACAACCGCCCACACAACAAGAATGGACCATTTGATTTAGTAAAACCTCTCTCCAAACGTCTCTCTCTCCGAAGATTAGATAAAACTAGCTAACTCTCTAGCATCCAGGTAGCTTTTTTTGCTGTATTGCCACCCAGTCACGTGGCCGGCGCGGAAAAACTATAAACAACGACGTCACTCCAAGATCCTCCTATTCCTCAACAACATTGGAATCACCTTTACACTTTTTAAGCTGCTTGAAATATTAACTCATAATGAACGCAACCCATCGACATAAAATGAAAAAAGATGCTACAATGCATTTATGTACAATTTATTTTTCTAGTGTATTGATCACTGTGTTTCTGAGAGCCCAAACAAAACCAGGAAGTGCCCCAACCTGTTCGCATGCCGTAACCAACCATGTAACATTCTTGTTTCACTATATGCAGCGGTTACTATGTGCATGCCAGTGTTGGACGTCAGAGAGCGTGTTTACCAGGACAAAAACATACAGTTTACATGTTCACCAAATAACTGTGACAGACTGAGCCAAGTATAGAAGCCTCAAAAGCCTACAGTCGCACATGATGAACCACTTTCTAATATGTTTCAACCCACTTTTTTAACATTCCTTTGAAAAACTGGTGTATCTATAAGTATGTTTACAATGCACCGGATCTCACATCTCGTCTCACGCAATCTCGACTGGATTGAACCATTTCTACCCCAGTTACGCTGGATTGTAACCAAGTAAACCGGATATGAAACTGAGACGAGGCCATCCGATGCAATTAAGTCATGCTTATTTATTAGACATGAAAGCATGAAAATTAGTAATTTATTTCTGTAGTTCCACTTAAAATATGAGACCAATATATGACGTAGACTCATTACGATAAGTTGGATGCATGAACTGATTACTCATTTTGATCATTGTAGTCTTTCTTTTCTTTCTTTTGGTTTTGTTAGGCGAGGAAAACGCAGGAAACGCAGCTTGTTTAGTTCCAGCAAAGGAGTTATTACAGATGCCAAAAGTGTGTTTGAATGAATGAATGATACCATTATTAGTGCCACAATAGGGACATTTCAGTATGACGAATAAACATCAAGGCGTGCAGAAGACGTCTCATCTGCTCTTCTGTTTCAGTACATTACAGTTTTGTTTACTGGTACTGTTCCAAAGCTTGAGTTACGAGACCCAAGTGTCACAAGGCTCAAGATGATCAGCGAGGGATGTGTAGCATGGAGCAGAGTGGTCTGACCAGTTTGGGAGCACCGAATTGAATCCATTTTTTGATTAAATAACAAATTGAAATTGTTAAAAATTCAAAAATTCAATTCAAGACAGACAGCCCAAAATTACAGCAGGCCAGAGGAATGCTTTACATTAGCTAAAGTCAGACGTATGTGTTCGTCTTCTCTGGTCTCTCTGAGCTGGTTCGGTCAGAGGCAAGAAGGTTTGAAAGAACATGTTTGATGTCAGAATTACTCTCAAATCTGCCAACCCTCATTCTAATGTTTCAATACAAGCGTTGTGATCTACTATCAAACAGATATAGTTTGTCTTTGTTGTGACATTTAACCCACTTTGGTCTAACAGATAATGATTGCACTCTTAGCTGCTCTGAAACTTGGATGTCATGCTCAACTACATAATCCGTATATATTAGATTTATTCAGGACAAAGCTTCCAACCACACTCCCAGTTTTACATGATTTAAGTCTTGTAGACAGTTCATCCACTAGGAGAGAGCACCCACTGGTCTGACCCCGTTTACAACATTAAATGGTGCAGATAGACTGTTCTTCTATAATATGCTTTTATGCTTTTAAAACATGCTAAAATTATCATTGATGTAAAAGATGAAGCTGCATGTATTCCACGCTTACATGTGCAGCGGGTACGTATTTGTTTGCATAGAACAGGCACACAGTTTCAGTTCCATTTGGTTTTTCATGTGTTGTTGTAGTTGTTACATGACAGTGTTTTAGATTGAAAGAGAGGAAGATGTGAAAAAATAAATGGACTTTTGAACTTTTTAACATGAGAAAAAACAATGATTTGTTATTTTCCTTTTGAGTATAGTATTTTTATAATGGCAAGAAAACCCAACTTATGTGACCATTTATATAGTCTTACAGCTATTTGTGTTTTTTCAATATATGTGACATTGAGTCTCATCTATGATTTTTCTAATTGGCTGTATTCTGAATGTGGTTTTACTGCAAATGGCAAATGAATTAATCTGAATCTGAGAAGTTGTCAAGGACAAGAAGTTCACCTCCATTTTAATTTAATAAACTTGCATAGCCACAGGGCTATTACAGAGTTCAACCAAGTTGTCTTGGCTCCTAAAACATACTGAGCACTGACACAGGTGCTTACACCCTGGGGCGGGCCGTCCCTGCTCTTCATCAGTCGCTGTGCTTCTTTTCTTCACTGCCAATGAATGGGTCGTGTTCTCACTATGAAGCCTCTTCTGTCTCACTAGTGTCCTCTTTCTACACAGAAACAATTCACTGTCCCTTTTCTCTATTTCTACTATTAACTTCCTATTTTAGTTTTCTTTGTATTTATTTATATGTCACCACACTCCCTGACTTTAAGCAGAGTAGATTATCACCATTGTGACTCCACCGTTACTACGCAGAAGGCCCAGTCAGAGACAGCACTCACCACTGCAACATCAGCCCCTACGAAACAATCCTCTAAAAGCACAAACTGATATTTTGGAATCCACACATAACTGTAAGAGATTCTTACATTTCTCTTTTTAATTGTTGTATTTGGAGATTCTTTAAACTGAAATATGTATTGAAATTACGTTTTAATTTTCCAAATCTTTCGAAATAATCTCCCTTAGTTCGTTTATGCCGTTTATGTCGTTACACATAGGCTCAGTAATGCATGTAATCCCTGCATCAGTAATCCATTAGCCTTTCATTCCAAACATAGATTATAAGACTTGATTTGAAAGTCATATCACGGCTCAAATGTTTCTATTTGTCCCAAAAAAGGCAATTTGGCTTTTCTCAAAATAATTTGGAACATTGCAAAGGTCACATGCGGAATGATTTTTAATCTGGTATGGCTCATTTTAGTTTTAGTTTGCAGACAGGATTTAGCGCTCCTTGTGCCTTATCTGCCATCTGCTTCGTGAGGGTCCCATGATGAGGATTACAGAGTTGACTAAATCCAGGTCATGGCACACACATAGATTATTCTGCTCCATATTATGGTCCATTTCAAATGCATGACGCGTGCAAGTCCACTTCTATTTGTCCTCAGCTATATTTCGAACAAGAAGTATTGGGGCAAAGATCATGACACATGGGTAAAACTCCACTGTTCCAGGAGCTGTGGAGGAAAGAACTGTACTTAGTAAAGCACTTTGAGATCATTCTGTACATTTTACCTGCTTTTCTGGGAAGTGCTAATACTTGGAGTTTTGTGTAATATGACATTACACTGATATTACCGTGTTTCTTTTTTAAAGTATGTGTTGCTCAGAAACAGGCTCCACCAATGTCCATCTATGTGCTGTAGTTTGGTCTGAAATTTGCCACTAAACTTGGAGAGCCTTGATTGGGGATCTTCTCTACCTATCTAAGTTGTCTTTGTTCCCAGGGTTCGAGAGTCACAATAATTTGTCAAATCGCATTAATAGTAAGAATGATAATAACGCATCTGTTTTATGTGCGCTTTTCATGACACACAAAGACACTGCACATGACATTGATCATACACTTTGAACATGGTGGTGATAAGCTACTACTGTCACCACGGCTGCCCTGGGGCAGACTTACAGCAAGGCAACCGGTCTGTGCCATCAGCCCCTTCGACCACCAATCACTCATGTACACACCAAACTCTTACAAGGCAATGTGGGTGAAGTGTCTTGCCTATAGATACAATGACAGTTTGGCACTTTACAGCCGCAGCCGCCCACTGTGGCACCTGGAGTTCCCGGGTCTTCCATCTCTGGGAACAGCAAGCGACTCCTAATCTTTCAGATTCATTTCCCTCAGTCTACCCCAGGGCAGCTGTGGCTACAATAATAGTCACTGTGTACAATAAATAATGCCAAAGACGTCTTTGAGCGTCCAAAAAGCACTATATATGTCAGACCTTTTGTACATGTTTTTAGTGGTAGGGGAAGCTGGAGCACCTGGAGGAAACCTACGCAGATCTGGAGGTGAAGCACTAACCACTGCATCATGTGCCGCCCAAGGACAGTGGTTAGCGGTGGCGTAAGCTCTCCCTTTATATTGAGAAATATTAAAATGTCCAAAGAAATGACAATTTATTATCCGCCAAGTTGGACATGTTTAATGCAATTTGCATAGAAGAAACATGAAAATAGGAAAATATGAAGAAAGGTCATGAACAAGGAGTTTAATAAGTTAATATCAAATTTGAAAGAGTTATCACTATTTACATAATTTAGGCCAAACAAACCAAACAAAAGGCACGAGACCAAAGTTAACATGCTAACTTCACATTCATCCATATTTAACTCATAATTGAATGTAATTTTTTTTAAACATATTGAACATAATAAATACAATTCAAATAAAATGGGGCTAGTTCAACATAAATGATTCATTAAAAGTGACTTTACAAACACACATCGTGGGGGTTTGGTGTTCGCCGGTACATAGTCATTTCAGAACTGAGAATGCACCTTTTCCAACCACGGTGATCCATCACGTAGAGCTCTATGGAATCGGACTTTGGACCATAATAATTTAGTTAACGTAGTATAGGGCGAGTACGTTTTCAAGCTTTATGAGTTCAGTTTCATGGTAACCGTATGGACTCGGGAAAGACGCTGGAGATATGTTTAAAGCATAGAAAAGTCAAAACAATCTAAAATGGGACCTGAATGAAAGCTTAGTAAGTATAGTATAAAGTATGCTACAGTCCTGTTCACTTTTGTGACATCATTCTTACAAACTCTGCAACGAAAAGAGAAAGTATTAATTTACTTGTTTTTTTAATAAGAATTTGTATTAAAAGGGACATATTATGTTCTCTTTCTTTCTGTTTAACTTTCCCAAACCAAACAAATGTATGTGTGTGTATGAAACCAGCTTCGTATCGGTGCATCCCTTGTTTATATTTGCAGAAGAAGTTTTTGTTTCAAATGGCTTGGCCCAGGAAGTACAGAGGGAAGAGCTATAAAACAAGGCTAGAAATGTTGCCAGTTACCATGGATACCAAGGAAAAAACTCAGCTGCCCTCCCCACAATGTTAAACTATGGGCTCTTTGGAATGTTATGATGGCACATAAACTATTATCTACATCTAAAAACGTAGCATAATATGTCCCTTTTGCTTCCATGGCGACTGACCTTCAAAGTCCACGGTCCCATCCCCATTGTTGTCGGCCTCTCGCACCACGGCCTCGATCTCTCTGCGACTAGTGTGCTCACCCAGCAACTTCGTCATGGCGTGCCTCAACTCATCTATAGTGATCGAGCCATCTCCGTCGATGTCAAACTAAAAAATACAACCAAAATATTAAAAAAAACATGAGAAATGGGCTCAGGCAGTGTCCCAGAGCAAAGCTATGGCCTCACCTCTTTAAAGGCATCCTTGAGCTCCTTTAAACCAATCATCCCTGCCGTCTCAGCCAGCAGCTTGGGCGTCATTAACTCCACGAAATCCTCAAAATCCACCCGGCCTCCCACTGCAACCAAAAATACATTCAGATTAATAAGTGAGCGATAAGTGAGTCTACGGATTGGAAATGCAGAGTTGAACTGTATTGACTGACATGAGCTGGGATTTTCATTCATGTTCTGTCAATTCTTACAGTTTGCTCGAGAAGATTTTCCCCACTGAGAGGTTATGATGAAATGAACATTAAAGAAGTTTAACCATTCTATGATTGTTTCATTTTAAACAGTACGTTCTAAAACAGGGGTCTCCAACCTGTAGCTCGGGAGCAGCCAGTAGCTCACCATCCCCTCTCCGGTAGCTTCCAAAGGATTTAGAATTCAACACAGGATCTTGAAGGACTCACTTTTGAGTGATTACATAATGATTATGAGTAAACATATTGGGTCATACAGTATTATGGTACATTTTACATGCGTTTTCCATGTTTTGTCGTAATTATTACATCATATTTTATCAGCAGCCCTCTGTCTCTTCTGTTGTATAAAAGTAGCTCTTTGATTGTAAAAGGTTGGAGACCCCTGCTCTAAAACACACAAACTACAAATCCAAAAATATGAATTATTTAGTTATTATTTGGTTTCGCTAATGTTGGTTGGATTGATCCATTTATTGGTCACAAAGACCAATATACTTTGGTTGGTGTTTGACAATTATAGATTGAAAACCTGCACACTATTCATCTAGACAAGTATCATTTGTCTTATGCGGAGCCACATGCATATGAAACCTGTCAGACCTCTGAAGTTAAAGTGATAGTCTGTAACTCTAAATGAATAACACATTTTAGGAAGTGTGTTAAAATAAGTCATTACATTAATTCTAGTATTACTGCCAAGTCACGCCTTCCCTTCTCTTAGCTATAGCTCAGAATCCACGGTGCCGTCCACGTTAACCAATCGAGTCGAGCCAAGGGCTGTCAATCATCAGCGCTGATGCTCGCAGCTGCTCATGCTCAGTTGCTTGTTTTCACGGAACCTCTGAATCAAGTCTCTATTAGGCTCTGGAACTACATGAAAACTGAACAAAGAATTCTGAACATCTGCGGTAATCATGTATATACTGAACCTATATCCATAATCATTTATATACTGAACCTATATCCATAATCAGATCCTCTGCAGATGTGTCCTATAATGTGCAATTCATGATAATAGCTACTTCCGGGTTTGCCGCGATCGCTTTTTTTGTGCATAAAAACATAATTTTTTTCATTAAAACGTTCACAAATAATTCTGAAAACCTCCGTCCATGTGTATTAATAATGTATATGTATAATATGTTCTCTGATTAACATTTCAAAGTGTTACGGAAACGTAGGCGTCAGAATCAGAAAGGAAGGGGGAGGGAGCTTGCGTTGTTTTTTTCAAATCAAGTTCCTCTCTGTCTCTCTTTCTGACAAACTCCAGACAATCACTTTAAGCTGGGCAGTGCCTGGTTAGCACTGTGATGGGAGACCAGGTGCCTCAGTGGGACTGTGGCTGTGTCCGGATGCAAGACACTTCACCCACATTTCTGAGTCTGGTGCAAGCCCCGTTGATCCAAGATGGCGCCCTATTCAAATGAATAGCTTGTGCTCAGTAGCGCATGGGACTTCACGGGGATCGGGAGATTAGCTGAACTCTCCTATATTTGGGCATCGTCTGGTCCTCCCGGTTCTGCGTAGTGGACGAGCTCCCATGATGCGTTGCGCCAAATACGCGTGTGTGGCTTTCATGCACGTGTACAGAGGGGCTCGGCTGCCCTTTGACCAATCGGAGCTGCTCATCAGTGCAGCAGCAGAGCGGAGTCAGAGCGGGAAGGAAAGGAGCAAAGTTTGTGGCAGTAAAGTGTGGATTTAAAGAAAACAGAAGGAAAAGTTCAGGATGACAAGGGACACAAAAATCCCCACAAAATCCGATATTTCTGAAAGCTGTAGCTGTTCTCTGTCAGCTGAGGTCGAGCTGTTTTAATTTACATTGAGTTCTATAGGACTTTTTTTTGGGTAGCCCCCGTTAATTTAGTCTGCAGTACCAGGGGCGCCCCCTGTGCCCGTGGGTGGGACAGTTTTAAGCTAGTAAAACCCTATCCAGTTATTATTCTAGATCCATGGTCTGTTGCATGAATGAATGGTGGTGGTCGGCCCACTACATTGGTTGGAAGGATAATCATTTTCATTGGTTGGTGCTAAGACCAATATAGATAGGGTGACAACACATGCATTTAGATTGGTTGTTTTAAAGACGCAAAGATTTGTCAGACATATACGCACCTTTTAAACACCATTTTAAAACAGCAACAACAATACTGGTTTTCTAAATATCTTTTTTGGGACCAAGGCCATCTACAACGCCCTCGACCTGTGGACTCACCACCTGCAGGAGGATCAGCAAGGCCCCCCTGACCCAGAAATGCCAAAATGGAGGCATGTAGGGGATGGAAATGATTGAGTGAAACTATTGTAGGAAATAATAAGTAGTGTGAAAATAGACTAGTGTAAATAATAATCCACCAACAAGAAGGAAAACACTATTGTCTGGATGAGGCCATAAAGCATTATTTCTGGACTTCATGGCATTACGAACAAAACAAACTTGATAACCTCTGAATGATAACTAAGTTTGAGCTGCAATAACATATTTCATGTTTACAAAGCAGTTTTCATTGCAAATCTAAATCTCTTATTGATCGCAATCTGTGAGAAATGACTCATCCCGAGGTAAAGTTGTGTAGCTGTGCACACAACCATATAATGAATGCAAACGTTACAAAGGGGATAGGTGCAGACTATTTCCAGAACTTCCTCATTTTGTAGGTAAAGACCGCAGCTTGGACAGTAAACCGTTGACTGTATGTGGTTTATGCAAAGAGAAGAGTTTCGCTGTTGGTAATAACTCTGCTGACAGCTGCACCCAATCGCTTTATAACTATATGGAGAAATATTGTTTTATTTCCTTCTCCTCACACTGTACTGGTGAACATCATCCTAATTATCATATATTTCTCTTTATTTCTCTTTATTTTCACGATCACTTACTTTCTAAGCACTGACAGCCTAAACGCTGACAGTGCACCAACCACAGACTGTTGCCACATGAGACACTGCACTGAAGGACAGTAAAAGGCTCTGTTATTTATTGGTGTAAGGGGATGTGACGGTAATATTAACTGTAACGGTATTATTTACTGTTTATAAAAAGTGCTATAAAGTAAAAAGTTTTCTAAACAAATGCTGACTCCGCTCTTACTCCGCTCGGATCAACAGCTGTGGGCGGTCGAGCCCCTCTGTGCCATGGATGTATTATATTAACTGGATAGGGTATTACTAGCTTGTAGCTGAATAACTCTTGTGCTCAGGGGATTCTCGCGGTACTGCAGACTGAACCAGACTAAATTCACGCGGGCTACCCAGAAATTTTCCCCATAGAACTCAATGCATATTAACCTCAGCTGACAGAGAACCTACAGCTTTAATAAAGATCGGATTTTGTGGGGATTTTAGTGTCCCTTGTCATCCTGAACTTTTTTTCTTCGGTTTTGTTTAAATCCACACTTTAGTGCCACAAACTCTGCTCCTCTGGCTCTCGCTCTAACTCCCGCTCTGATGAACTGCTCTGATTGGTCAGAGCGCGGCCGAGCCCCTCTGTGCACGTGCGTGAGACCCGGTGTGAGACCCACACACGCGTGTTTGGCGCAACGCATTATGGGAGATCATCCACTGCGCAGAACCGGGAGGACCAGACGATGCCCAAATACAGGCGAGTTTCCCATAGATCTTTGCGAGTTTCAGGCAACTTCCGCTAATCTGTCAGCGACCGTGCCGGCACATGCGCCACTGAGCACAAACCATTCATTTGAATACGGCGCGATCTTGGATTGCCAGGGCTTGGGGGCACCTGGGTTACTAATAATAATTACTACTAATAATAATGAAGCTCATGTCCTTATAGTGACAGTGTCTCTCACGGTTCATGTTGATGTTCTGGCTGAGTTCGATGAGTTCCATCTCTGTGGGCATGTAGCCCATGGTCCTCATCAGGTTCCCCAGGTCTTTGCAGCTGATGTAGCCGTCTTTGTCCTTGTCAAACTCCACAAAGGCCTCGCGCAACTCTGCCAGCAACAAAGTAAATATATGATACGTGTACAAAACAAACAAGGTTGGTACATCACATGAGCTGTACTTGACTGACTTTTTAACCAACCAAAACAGACCTGGAGTTGTTTGTCCTCTACACTTCTGACACCAGCTTGTGACTCTGCCCATTCTTTCTAAAATCTCCTGTCTCTGTCTTGTGTGTAAGTGTGTTCACAGTAAATATGGCTAACACAACATAAGTAAACCACTTGATTTAAAAAGGAAACATTTAAAAAAAATAATCAATAAAAATGTAAACGACCCTTGACAAATGTGTAACAAAAACATTTAACTTGAGAAAAAAATATATATATATCATCTGGTTTCACATTGGTTTACTATATGAATGTATCACTTTGTTTCTACTCTGTGTAAAAAAAATAAATCTCTTAATCAAATCTGAAAATATGTAACACACTTCCACAGCTCATTCCATCAAAGGATCAGGTCCGTGACACAAAAACAAACATTATAGAAAACTTGACTGATTTTTAAAACAGTTATGTTCTTACAGTTACTGATGGACTGAAGAGGTATTTGGATAAATGAAAAACATAATATATCTTCTGATTATCAAAACATTTATCAACACATTTTAGGCCTTCTGACTTTTGTACCCTTTTTATGAACAAGCCTACGTATATGCATGATGTCATTGTACCACATCACGCTCAGATTTTCTATCTTTTAAAACTATTTTCCCAGTGAAATGACATTGGACACTGTTTTCTTCATCAAAACACAAAATGAGTGTCTGCACTGAAAACTACATTTTCACCATCCTTGAATCACAAAGTTACTACAAGCAAAGTTATAGATTTCTTAAAAACAAGAAAATAAACAAGTTTTAAGGGTGAATAAAACATATAAGTAAAGTCATGTGGCTCAGCTGAGATAATGTTTGCTTTTATGATAAAGACTGCGAAGTGGAGAGTTCACTAGCTTTTCTCTAAAATTAGAGGTCTTGTTTACTGTAATGTGCGCAACAAAGAGATTTGAGCGTGTGACATCACAATCTGAATACATGAAAATACAGAATGCAACGTTATATTTACCATCGATTTCATCATTTGTAAGACTTCTCTGCAAGAAAAATAACCTGATTTAATATTTACACAATATTTATACAGAATATAAATGAAATGTACAATATTGTGACTTACATGTCTCTTTGTCGCACCTCTGAGAAAAATACAAGGCTGTTTCAAACTCATGATCTAAGAACAAAGGGAACAAATCTCAGAAAAGACCACAAATGTAAATGCGGCGTCTTGTGGCGATGGTTTTATCCAGTGATGTCCAGTCAGTTTCAAGAGTCCGCAGCAGTCAGCGTTGTGGCAGAGAAAGAAGAGTTCTGATGTGGATTATGTCCACAGCTTTGGTCCAGAGGCTAGATAAATCTGGCAGCGAGACAGCCCAGGCTTAGCACTGGGCAGGTTGTGGCCGTGTATGCGCACACTATGGACAATCTACATCTACTCTGCACAATGTAATTTTATGGAGGATATTTGTATTTATGTTTTAAATACACAAAGACAAAAAATGACCTTACACACATTTACACTTTTGAAAGATTCAAATTCCTCTTCTCCCCATGGCTCAGATGATCCCCATTTTCAGTGCCAATGTTCGTATGTTTAACTTGTTATACTATATTATACTGAACAGTTCAATATAATATACATTTTAAACTGCTTTCTTTTATATGAGCTTCAATTTCAAATCAAAACAATATAACAGTGGTTCTCAAACTTTTTACACCAAGTACCACCACAAATGACCAACACATAACTGGTACGCAGGTACGCCTGCGTGACAAAAATCAGGAATGCTTAATGTCACTTGAGTTAGTAAGCGCCTTTGCCCCTTCGATCTTATCATCCAACCTACACATTACAGTACATGCTGCTTGTCAGCTACTGCCAGAGATGTCCAAAAAGCAACAGACATTAAGTCGTTTCTCTGGCGTTTCGCCGCCACCTACAAAGAAACGCCAACTGGAGCCAGAGTCGAAGAAAAGATATTTTTCAGAAAAGTGGCTTCAACATGTGCAGTGGCTTGAAGCTAACAATGAGCGCACTGAAATGTGGTGGAAGATTTGCCGTTCAAATCCACGACTAGCAGACAAAACAAGTGCATTTTATAAAGGCTCAAAGAATTTCAACCATCCTTTATTTGACAAACATGAAAAGAGCAAGGAGCACACAAATGTGGAGCAAGCCATTGCTAATAAACAGCCGAGAAGAAATGCCCAGATGGTGAGATAAGTTCAATGAAGAACAGCGGCAAGCTCTGTTTAATATTTTTCTCTTGGCCTTCCATAAAGCTAAACGCGCACGTTCCATGTCTTCCTATTCTGAGGATGTTCCTTTACTGAAGCGGCTAGGAGTTAATGTCGGAGTTGCATATCATTCGAGAGGGGGCTTGACGCATAACATGGCATTCGCGCAAAGCATCATGGGTAATGCGCACGTGGTGGAAAACCATCTATTAATGTAGAAGCAGAGTCCGCCGCATCTGCTCTTTCCTCCGGAGAGCTCACAATGGCGATCCGCGCGGAATAACTGAAAGTCCTGTAACTCCAGAGCGCAATCCGTGATCCGATTGTTGAGCCAGGTCTCGGTGATGCAGAGGACACAGGATGAGGAAAAGTCTCTGTTCTTTGTCATCAGCAGGGAGCGTTCGTCCATCTTATTGCCCAGTGAGCGTACGATGGAAAGGAATATGCCCGGGAGTACCGTGCACGCACCTCTTCTCCTAAGTCGCACAAGCAGGCCGCCGCGCTTTCCTCGCCCACGGGGTTTAACTTTTTTTGGCTAAAACATGAACCAAATCAGCTGCAGATGCCAAGAAAACAGGCGGTAGTTTCCGTGGGGATAATGGGTCTAATGTTCATAAGCTCCAGATGGGTGTAGGAGCAGGCAGAGACGCTATTAAAGCCGAAAAAAAGAATTTATCATGCAAATTTAATTGATAATACATTTCTATATGTGTTATACGGTCCCAGCTGCTCCTCCCAGTGAGTCTGAATGCAAACTAAAGCGGTGCTCCTGTGTCTATATAAGGCCCATGTGAGTGTGTCCCAGTGATCTCTGCTCTGATGATGCTGTCTGTGGCTCTTCTGCTGCTGCTGGCAGCTGGATCCTGTAAGTCTCTCTTCACATCCAACTCTGCTACAAGTAAACAGTACAGTTTTATCCTCATTATTGTGTTGTGTTCTCCACAGGTGTGAAAAGTGAGACACTGACACAGGTGGCCTCGGTGACTGTGCAGCCAGGGCACACTCTCTCCCTCCCCTGTAACGTCTCCTACTCTGTAGGCGGCTACTTAACTGCATGGATCAGACAGCATGCAGGGAAAGGCCTGGAGTGGATTGGAAGCAAATACACTGGAGATTCCTACTATAAAGAAAGTCTGAGGAACAAATTCAGTATTGATTTAGACACCTCCAGTAACACAGTGACTCTGATCGGACAGAACATGCAGCCTGCAGACTCTGCAGTGTACTACTGCGCAAGGCACACAGTCAAACAAAGAATGACAAGAGCTGAACAAAAATAAGTCAGACTGTTGTTCGCTTCAGCCACCAGAGAGGGAGCCCTACTACATGAATCATGTTTAGTTTAGAATGATACCTAAAAATAGACACAGTCGAAGACAAAGACGGAGACAATTTATATCACTATTTTAAATTAAACATAACTAGTTGGTGCATTTAGTGTCGGTATACACTAAATGTATACGGTATATTGGTGTACAGTGTCGGGGCGACAGTAGCTCAGTTGGTAGAGGTCGTGGGTTCGAGCCCACCGTAAGACCTACTTCACGACTCCCGCTGATGACTGCTGTCGTTGTGTCCTTGGGCAAGACACTTAACCCCACTTTGCCTGAAGCCCCCATTGAAAGATCTCAGCTCCTGTGGACTCAGCACCTGCAGGAGGATCAGTGAGGGGCTGGTGCTCTGTGTACTGGGTGCAGCTCTGACTGCCACCCCCCGACCCAGAAATGGATGAAGGGGAAGAAAATAGATGGATGGATGGATGGTGCATTCATGTATAATTTAAACATTCCAAGAGATTTCGTCTCATTATCTGTATTTTTATTTTCCCTTCTACATTTCTTAAGCAGTGCTCTGCTCGGGCCGAACACCAAATCATTACCACATTTCATGTGCGGCATGCAATAAATACAAGGTCTTCAGAGTCTTATGTTCTAGTGTAGGCAGTAACAGATGACTAATGCCAACCAATACATTCACTTCTATTAACCCCTTTTCTCTGTTGAATCTCTCAAGATTGAAATTAAAAGAGTACAATAGAACTAAAGTAAAAGCTCCTGGCTTTGAGGTTGCCAAATTGGTGAAACATGAATAAAACAAAACAATATATGATTCTTGTGTAGGATATTGCGAGTGTCCAAGATGTCGAACCATTCAAATCAATGTGTTTGCATGTTCTCCACGTGTCTGTATAGGCTCCGGTTTCCCCCACCACTACAAACATGTGCAATGAGTTAATGATATGAATGTAATGAGAAACTGAATAAATGTCTATGGTTCAAACCTGTCCTTTAAAAAAAACTAAAAAGTAAAAGTACAGAATGATGTGGAGGAAAGGAAAAGAAGCCTCCGCCTTGTCTTTTCTGTGGGTGTGTTGTGTGTAGTATTAAATGAGTGAGAGCGATTGGATCCAAATAAGCATCTGCTTTGTCCAACTCATTTTCTGTATAAGGGTGATTTTCTCATTACAACCCTAGTGTTAAATTTGTACTAACTAATAGTGCCAGAAATCTTTTTATTTTTGTTTTCAGGGTAGCTGAAACCTTAAGAAAAACATACAGATAAATGGCAGTGCTTAATTATTTTTTCTTTAATGGATAAGAAAATATATTAGAAAAAATGTACTTGTTACCACAAAGTAAAAAGAGTTGAAGTAACGGTTTTGACACTTCTTCACTCTATCACAATGCTCGTTGCGGTCTTTCACAACAGAGAATCCAACAAACACAGCATGCACAGAACAACAACACGTAGGTCTAACTTCAAACAAGTCAGATCACTTCTGTCTAATGCAGAGGAACCTCCTCACACTGTGTCTGCCATGTGGCTGCACAAGACTCAAGCACAGATGATGAGTACTTATATGTCACAAGCACAGATGATGAGTACTTATATGTCACAAACACAGATGATGAGTACTTATATGTCACAAGCACAGATGATGAGTACTTATATGTCACAAGCACAGATGATGAGTACTTATATGTCACAAACACAGATGATGAGTACTTATATGTCACAAACACAGATGATGAGTACTTATATGTCACAAACACAGATGATGAGTACTTATATGTCACAAGCACAGATGATGAGTACTTCTACGTCATGGTGCTACGTCCCTTAGGACTTCGCTAGTGGGATATCACTCGTGACCCCCAGGTCACACGCCAGAGAGATCAAAATAATTTGCTCCAATCACCAGCCACCTTCCTCTATAAATGCCCCTGCACAAGGCCGCACCCCCTCTTTCACTCTGGCGCCGTTCGAGATCTACCACAGTACTTCTTCATTCTGAGATGTCTTCCTTGTTCGTCCGAGTTCCCTTCGCCCTCCGGCGTCGGACGTCGTCACTGGATCCAGACGGTGGAGGACTTCACCTCTGTGGGTGCCACCACTCGAGGGAGGAGGAGGATAAAACCCACGTTGTGCCCGCGGATGGACCCGTTCGTCCATTACGCGACACGTGAGTGGCCTAAGCCCCTAGCAGCCAAGAGGCCTGCTCTGGGGTACGACATATACTGCAGCGGGCAGGACTGGTCCTGGACCGGTGATCGAGGATTCAGTCCGCATGGCCCTGCAGCCCTCCGCATCCGTGTGGCCCGACACCAGACCTCTCCTTCTCCCCGAGTGGGACAGGATGTCTTGCCGAGGCTGGATAGATATTATGCCAATGCGGCACAGGTCGTCACATTGGCTAACAACATGACTTTCATCACGGGGGCCCTGGATAGGGCGCTCTCCTCTGGCCAGGCGCTCAGTGGAGACCTCCTGTCACAGGCGAGGACCACCTCGGCGGCGTTCCTGCGCATGTGCCAGACGCTAGCCGTGGATGGTGGCCAGGACACCGAGGATTCAGTCCGCATGGCCCTGCAGCCCTCCGCATTCGTGTGGCCCGACACCAGACCTCTCCTTCCCTCCGAGCGAGACAGGATG